CATATACCTATGAAAATGAACTTTATTGAACTAAATCTATTGTGATCACGGACGTATATGGTAGAGAATTTGTCTGTAACGGTCAACTATATTCTAAATGTACATGTCCGTCGAAAACGCATTTCGTTTTGCAACGTTGTATTTTACCCGTGCGACGGTAGAAGAAAGAACAAAGATGTTTGAAATATAGATCACATTCAATTTGCAATAGCTTATAAGAATTATAGTGATAGAGCAAAGGACAATACATTCATTAGAAAATCTACCACTAGATATGACTTATTGGGAATATATGTGAGTGTCTCTCTTCGAATGACATATTCAGTAACTCAAACTCTGTATCTCTTTCAACGGATTTTTCTTTCTTATTTCCAAAATAAAATCTGAACGAGGATGGGTGTAGGTATCCGAATTACAATGAACACTTATTTGTCTCACTTATGTTGTACAGTGTACATGGGAATGAATGATGAGAGAGGGGTATGATAAACTCAACGAAAGTTTTAATACTTGGGACGTGTAAAATCTTCAAAGTAAAGTAGATCAACTTTGCTTTACCACGTAAAATTGATCTATTTTACTTAGTTAGATAAAGTAAAGTTGATCTACTTATTTTACCAAATAATGGTGAAATAAAATACTTTACGCGACTTGAGAAAATAAAGATAAAATTTCTTACCTCTAGTCACATGGATGATATCTCTGCGAGAAAATGTTATCTATCTCTTTTTCTATTGATAAAAGGCATTCTTTTTATGGGTACCTCCATGTTTGAGAAGTTATATATAAAGTAGAAACACAAATATAAAACTGTACTAGGGTATGGGTGAAATCCTAACCGTTGCACACACCTACATAGCGAAACATCTATGTTAGTTTCATTCAAGCTGATAGTAATAGAGAGCTCGTTTATTTATTTATTTAGAAAAATTTCAATAATTGAAAATCAATTGTCATCCTCTCAGCATACAAGTACTGTAAGCTGAGCAATTTCATAATATGCCGCTGCTAAGGTTCTGGACAGTGGTGCTATTTCTAAGGCTATTTGTGCATATATTCCTGATTCATAACAAGTTGATGCCCCGTACCAATAATCCATGAATTCAGAATAGAATTCTAGTGGAATGTCATGCAAAAGTTCCAAAGCTAGATTAACTGATTTAGATAGATCTGGACAATATGGTGGATTATCTTTATCGGTTAACATTCGTCCAGGAAGATATTTATCTTGATAAATATTCGTCTCTATTAAATTTGAATTTTTTCGTGCAATAGCAATGTAATAAAGGACATTACTCCAAGCTAAACTAAAATGTTGCTCATTATATGATGGTAATAAAGATAATTTTGTTTTAATGATTGGAAGAGCATTTGCAACAGAAGCATTATGTGCTAACCACATTGGGCCTAAATAACACTCATCAATCAGCCCACCATCTTTTGCTGTGACACCAGAGCAGCTTCTCGATTGTAAAAGATTGAGAAAGTAGTTGCGCCAATGAATCATAGCACTCGGTATTTGCTTTAAACATTCATCAGAATTTGAACAAAAAATATCACGTTGAACAATTTGAAATGCACCAGAACGAATAACTCCTGTATCGACAGCAGCAAGAAAAGGAATAACTGATAAATAATAGTTAAACGATGCCCACCAACTATTAACTGAAATATTCTTTGTTCCATTTGAAAATAATCGATTTGAATCAAATTGCCAACCAAAATTTGCAGCGAGACCAAAGAGAATATTGCATTCTTGTAATGGTTGTACGGAACAAAATCTGTCCATATAAGGTGTTGTTGCATTAATCAAAATCTTGTACAAACCAAGTCTATCTAAATACAACCAAGGATCAATTATTCGACAGTCAGAATTATTTATTGTTTGTGATGACGAACAATTGCCACTTAAAGGATAACCAGCAATCGACGAAGGTGCTTCAAACCATAATGTCGGAAAACGTTGTTCGGCTATTGAAGTATTTGATGAAAAAATGAACAGTGCTATTGTGAGTATAAGTAAATGCATCGTAGCTGAAGTCATCTTTGAAGTAAAATAAAACATCTAAGCTCTTTTTCTTTTCTTTTTATATCAACAAAGAGTAATTCATTTATCAAAAATGTCTCGTTATCACGTAAATATAACATATTAATCTTTTTGTTTGAAGAAAGAATTCGAAATAAATAAGGAACATTGCGTGGGTGTTGGTGTGGACGTGAGATTACATAGAAATGGTAGACACTCACACCCATATTCCAGCTTTTTGCAATAATAATTTTTTGTTACTACTTACTATTTTATGAGGGGCTCTACAGATTTTTTTAGTTTGTTTTCTGCAAGATTTTTTGTTATTGAGGATTTATTAGAGCTTATTAACTGTATTTAGATATCTGCACGTCCACATCCACCCAGACGACGTTTAATTATATGCTTTTCTTTTTTCTCTCATGTAAACAAGAACGGAGCAATAACATGTGAGAACGACAAATTTTCTCTCGTTCTGTCACATGTTTCATATGACAAGGCAATTTTTCTCATAAGCATCGTCGATGTTTTTCTCTTCAGTTATTTCTTTTTTTTTTACGTTTGTCATAACGTTTTCTTCTTAGCTCTCATTTGATTTTTTTTCTTAAAAACACATTGAATGGGTGATAAAAAATCAGTAATTAAATTATATGGAATGAAAATGTCTACATGTACTCGACGAGTTCGATGTGTATTAGAAGAAATGAGTTTACCGTATGAAATTATTCCTATTGATTTGAGCAAGGGTGAACATAAACAACCGGCTTATCTTGCTCTTCAACCATTTGGTCAAATTCCTCTACTTGAAGATATTGATGGAGCAAAAATATTTGAATCAAGAGCAATTATTCGATATTTAGTAAAAAAATATCCATCTGAAGGTAAAGTTTTATGTTAATTGACTTTTTATTACTTGAATTCAAATAGATCTTAGAATAAAAAGTATTATTTAATTATTTTTCTCTATAATATTCAGGTGCAAAAGTACAACCTGAAGATAGCAAAAGCTATGGTCAAATGGAGCAATGGCTAAATGTTGAATCTGAACATTTCAATCGTGAAGCTACTCCTCTCGTTTGGGAAACATTATGGAAGCCAAAGATGAAACATTTAGGTGAAGTTGATGAAAAACTAGTGGAAGAAAAAAAGAAGAAATTAGAAAGTATCCTATCAATTCTTGATAATCATTTGGCAACGAATGAATATTTTGCTGGAAATCAATTTACAATAGCTGATATTAGTTATTTACCATATACAGAAAATTTAATTAGAGCTGGCCATAAAGATCTTTTATTATCGAAGGCTAATTTTGCTACATGGTGGAAAAAATGTAGCGAACGATCAAGTTGGATTTTATGCAAAACTGAACAAGAAATTGACTTCTAAACAAATATTATTGATTGTAACTTTTAGATACTAATAACATAATCATCAGTTCAATATAATCCTTTGAAATTTTATTTAGAAATAATTGAGTATCATTTATTTATATAAAACTAATTATATGAAAGTTATTTTTATCAGGTACAGTTGAAAATAAATAATTATTTAAATGCATTTAAAATATCAAGAACAAAACGATATTTAACATCTGCTTTGACTGTTCGATCATAAGCTGCTTTAATTGTTTCTGGTGTTGCATCAATCTTTTCAATATCACATGTAATATTATGTTTACCACAAAAATCAAGCATTTCTTGAGTTTCTTTCATTCCACCAATTCCACTACCAGTAATTGTCGGTCGTTTCATTAGAAGAGTGAATGCTCCAACTTCAAGAGGTTTTGTTGGTGCTCCAACGCTAAATATGAAATAAATTATTTCACATGTATAATATACAATAAATAATACATACACACAATAGACTCCTTCAAATTTTAACAAATTAAGTAAAGGACCAACATCATGTGGTGCTGATACTGTATCAATAATCAAATCTAATGAATTTGCAACTGTTTTCATTTGTTCATCATCTTTTGAAACAATAAATACTTTAGCGCCAAGTTTCATTGCATCATCGCGTTTCGATTCAGAAGTTGAGATGACGGTAACATGAGCACCCATAGCTGCTCCAAGTTTAACTCCTATATGACCCAAACCACCAAGACCAACAATACTAAAAAATATGAAATTAACATCTGATATAATTAAAAATAATATTAAATAAATACCCTAATTGTGTATGTTTATCGACTTTGTAACGTCGTAATGGAGAATAAGTTGTAATACCAGCACAGAGTAATGGTGCTGCTGCATCTAATGGTAAATTTTTAGGAATTTTGCAAACAAAATGTTCTTTAACAGTAATCAGATTGGAATAACCTATAAATAATAGAATAGAAATGATTATAATATTCATCAAATAATATTTACCTCCATATGTTGGTGTTACTTTATCAAGTTCAGTACTATTATATGTTAAACATAAGTCACCACAAACTTGTTCAATGTCCTTTTTACCTAAATAGTTTAAACTTAGAAAAAAAAACAATACTTGTTAGAATAGAAGATAATTACAAGTTGCACATTTGCGACATGAATCAACCATACAACCAACACCAGCATGATCACCTACACGAAAACCTTTGACACTTGAACCAACTTGTTCAACAACGCCAGTGATTTCATGACCTGGTACCATAGGATATTTTGAACTGTGCCACTCATTGTATACTTGATGAATATCCGAATGACAAATACCACAATAATGAATACGAATAACGACATCATCAGCTGCAGGCATACGTCGTTCGAAATTAAATAATTTAAATGGAGTAGATTCACTATCAACAGCATACCCTTTTGCAGCAATTGAAATAGGTGATGGTGTATTAGCAGCAGCTCTAACACAGAATTAGATATAATAAATAATAAAAAGAAGAAAACAAAATCATTTTTAATATTCAATTTTATGAATCTTGTTTGTATTTCTCTCTCGAAGTTTTTATTTTAGAATAATATATATATGTATACTTACTGCTTGGAAGTCATTGTTAATAGTCAAGTATGATATATTCAAAATATAAAGTTGAAGTCGGTACGAAATTTTCTAAATGGCAGTATAAACAATAATACTTTTTTTTTACTTTACACTACTATTTATATACTTTTTTTTTGCATCGTCATTCTCTGGCAGTGCTTCTTATAATTGCTAGCGACAAGGCATTTTTTTTTCTTTCTCTTCCATTTGTATTTTCTTCGTCGGCAGTTATAATCGATAAATTATTCATTTGCCGTACTCGAAGTATGAATAGAAACAAAAGTACGAGCACTGTCAGTATATTTTTAGAAATGTATTTTGTTGTATAATGCGAAAAAAATATAAACTAATCTTTTTGAAATTGAAAATGATTTTTTATCATAAATATTGTTCACAGGATATCACATAATAATATTCCGATAAAAAAATTTAATTAACTCTACTTTACTTTAATTAAACCGGCTGATTTTTTAAAATATTTTTTTCATATTGGTAATGTAAATAAATACTACTATTAAGTATTGAGATTGATCTCATGAAACGTATTTTGTGGATAATTTTCAAGATCACAATTCAAACTTGTCAGATAATAGATTAGCAAGTTCTCAGAAAAAATTAGAAATATTGTACGTATTAACTGTTAAACTAATGAGTTTCCAAACTTCTCTTTAAGTACATCAATATCGTAACATGTGTTTCACGAAGCCAACCTCAATACTTAATTGTAGTTATATTGTCGTTATGAAAAAATCTATTTTACAAAAAAAGTTATTTTAATTATTATAATTTATATTTTATTTAATAAGAGAAAAAATATCGTTTTATACACATCCTACTTCCATTGCATACAAGTGAATGATGGGTACAATAGATGTATGCATTTTTTCTTTCTTTTATTTATCTTGTATTCTTCCAATGCATCCTTATTTTGATATTATATCAGATATTTCTCTAATGCGTTACACGATCAACGACAGATGTCTCTGGAATCATTTCTATTTCTTGAGAAACACAACTATCTGGAACAAATCAGTTTTCTTTCCTATTGAAAAAAAGAATTCATTTTTGTCCAAACCTGAAGAAAGACTACGTATCTACCAAAACTTATAATATGGTGATATACGCCCAGCTAAGAAAATGGCATTTAGATGGTGTATTTATATATGTCATGTTTTTTTTTCGTTTTATGTCGGATTAAAACTTATTCAATACATACAAAATGTTACTTCTTTCGTATTAAAAACAACAACAATTTAAGACAGTAGAAATTAAACGTTTGTTCTGTCTTTTTTTCGCGCTTTAGATAATCTAAAAAATGTTGAACAATAATCGAATTGTAATTGAATCTTTGTTGGCTGGATTATATTGTCAATTTAGTAGACTCAATCCAAGAATTGGCAGTATTATTTAACTAGTAGATGGTCTCTATTTAAAAATAGATCATAACAATGACATATATTGTCTAGAACATCTTATACCATTGATATGTTTTTAAAAGATGGGTGTGAATGGGTGTCGAATAAAACCGCACGCCCACACCCACACCCTCAAGATGTTGATCACATATTCAATAAATATTGATCTAACTCTTGAAACTAAATAAAAAAGACACGATGAAAGCATTTTATTTCTCTTCAAATCTTTGAGGAAAAATCTAGACTATTATTTAAAACAAAAGAACAACAACTTGTTTACAGGAATCAGTGTTTTACATACGTGATTTCTTTTATACATTCATCATTGCTTAATTTCTCGATAGATGAATAAGCATTGCTTTTCTATCTAACAGTCCTCAATATTTCTCATATATTTATCCATTATCATTGGTTAATGATGTTTCCAAAGCAAAAGTAAATAATTCGGTATTATATTGACGAACACTTCTATAATAACAACGAAGACAAAACTGAGAGTGTTGCAATTATCTTTAACCTATAGTCTCACATATACCTATCCTCAAGCTGACTTTTTGTCATGTCACATGGAATTTAATCACCGTTCTGGAACAGTTTTCATCTCATCAGTATTCCTTTTCTCTGACATCCAAGACACAGTCACTTACCTAGGGACAATTAAATATCGTGTATTCCATTTCCTGTCATATAGTTTTTATTTTTTCTTCCTCCTCATAATACATTCGAATTTGAATCATTAAGTAAAAGCACGTATGCTCTAATAACCTTCATTTATCATTTTTTCTTATAAACAGTAGAAGAAGAAGAATAGAACATTCTAATTATGATTTTGATCGTCAAATACATGATATTTCAACATGTAACTTAGGTAATATTGTTTAATTCTATATATTTGAAAATTAAGAGATATTCATTAAATGTACTATTTCCATAGTACTCAGGACAGTTCAAAGCTATCTTTGTAATCACAGTGAGTTTTATTCTATGTTTTCAGATAGTATTAAGTATTCGATTTTATGATTAAAAGAATCTTGAGAAATAACAATTATAATATCATAGATACAGAATATCTCAAAACAAACCGAGACGACTTCTTAGTTATTTTAATTTAACTATGTAAGTGTTCCGTGAGGATAAGATTAATAATAATTCATAGAAATGTTTTTCAATCAACTTTTATCTATGATATATACAAATGTTTTTCTAGAATAATATTTGATTCTGACATATAACGCGTTAACTATCTTATTGAAATCATCCAAACAAAGTTTGATAAGAAGAAAAACATAACTGAACGAAAGTACTAACGGAATAGGATACACGTGAAAAATTATCGGTACATCTCCACACAGCGATGAACAGCACCAATATCACCGCTGACAGTAACGACGTTGATTTGATTAATCTGATTAATAATGTCAACATGCTTATTTCACGATATGGTTTAGGTATTATCTGGTTAGTTGGCAACATTGGGTCAGTTTTAACCTGCTTGGTTTTTCATCAACCTACATTTCGTAAGAGTTCATGTGCCATGTATTTCATCGCTTCAAGTTTTTCGCAATTATTAGCTTTCAATTTTGCTTTACTTTATCGAATGCTACAATACGGGTATAATGTTCAAACTATCAACACTAGTCTCTTGTTTTGTAAGATACGTTTCTATCTATTCTTTGTTATGATTGCCAATTCTCGTTATAATATCATTATGGCTTCAATTGATCGATACTTCGCTAGTTCTCGAAATGCTCTTCGACGTCAGTGGAGTTCACCAAAGATTGCTCTACGTGTTATTATTGGTAATGCAATTCTCTGGAGTCTTATATATATCCAAGTAATGATTTTCTATCAGATTATCAATAATAGTTGTCAACCTCAATTAGGAGGGTACGGAATATTTTTTAGTATCTATATTTCAATTGATAGTGGAATTCTTCCTATATTCTTAATGCTTCTTTTCGGTCTATTAACCGTTAGAAATGTTCATCAAACCGGTAAACGTATTGAACCGACCACAACGAATCCTGATGGTAAATCTATTCTAACTAGTAAAATTTCAAAGAAAGATGTTCAATTACAAAAGATGTTAGCAAATCAAATTATTCTTTTCTTATTTCTGAATATACCGAATCCATGTTATCTTCTTTATCGATCATTCACTATAAATATTCAAAGATCATCACTTCGTCTTACAATTGAAGCATTCATCAATAATATGACATATGTTCCTCTTTATCTTGGCTTCGCATTGACATTTGCTAATTTTGCGGTATCATCAAAGATGTTCCGACGAGAATTTCTATCTCTTATGCAAACAAAGATACTTCGTCGACCTCCACGAAATACAGAAACCGAAGGAGCAACAACAATGAGAAATGTCTTGACAACCACTGCGTACGGTTAAAATAATTAATGCATGTCTCTCATTATATAAATTAAAAACTCTACATAGTTTCTATTATCAAAATCCATGATAACATTGATGTCCTGCTTTTGTACTTCTTTTTTGAGCTAAAATATGTCATTGATAGATATTATGAATGGAAAAATATATTAGTTGAGTTCATTTTGATAAATGTTGTAATAAAATTACTAAAGAATTTTGTTCATTGATTGTACGTTTAAATTATTCAATATTTGAAAGTATTTTACAAAATTGTTTCATCTCATTGATATTATTTAATAAACTAACATAATAACAAAAAATATTTAATTATTCTATTCAAATATCTATATCTTTATCGATAGTGAAAGAGTTTCCGTCAGTATTTCTTTTAATACAAATGATATTTCCAATGTACAAAAAGCGTGTGGGTGACTACCTTTTCTGTTCCCTCTCACATCCATCCAACATAAAAGAAAAGAAGAGAAGAGAGAACGAAAACATCTATAAATCATGTGTGTTCATTACCACATCTATTTTTGTAAAAATAGATGCACGGATATTGTGATAGAATTAATTCTCAAAACTTTTAGAAACAAAGATGGATCCACTTCGTATTGCACTCTCTTGCTTACGACTACATAACACCTTGACTTTTACATATTTCAATCTATCCTACTTCATTTTTAAATTGAACTGAAATTGAATCTGACCGACGAAATATATATATATATGTATATATTTCATTCCATACCTTCTTATTTCATCTCTACATTCATATACTTTATTCCATTCTTTTTTATCTCATACATTTCATTCCATTCCTTTTTATTTCGTATCCACATTCATGTATTTTATTCCATCTCTTTTTATCTTATACATTTTATTTCATTCTATCCCTTTTTATGTTGTATCTACATTCATTTATTTTATTCCATCCCTTTTTATTCTGTATCTATGCCCATAAATGTTTTTTTCATCTTGAAGGTGTGGGTATAATGAGTATGTGACGCAGATAAACAAACTCGAAAAAAAAATTTAACACGTAATGGATCTGAAAAAGCGAATCTTTTTACGTTACATTCTCGAATCGTTCAGTCAATTCTTCTGAAACCTTTCTACGAGAATCAACTTATCATTGTTGGTTTTCTTATCCATTCTCTGTTTCTAGATTTAATATAAAATTCTTTTCCAATAAATAGACATCGAATGTCTAGAACTGTTGATTCAATTGAATGGGATAAGTATCAAACGAAGATATTAAATTGTAAAGAACGTCCTAATCGATTAATTGTTGATGATGCTGTTAATGATGATAACAGCGTAGTGGCGTTATCACAGAGTAAACTGGATGAATTAAAATTACTTCGTGGTGTTATTGTTTTACTTAAAGGTAAAAAACGTCGCGAAACTTTTTGTATTGTTCGCGTAGATGATGGATGTCCAAATGACCGTATTCGAATGAATCGTGTTGTAAAAAGTAATTTACGTGTACGTTCTGGTGATGTTATTTCAATTGAAGGTTGTCAAGATATTCAATATGGTAGACGTATAGATGTTTTGCCTATTGATGATACGATACAAGGAATAACTGACAATTTATTCAAAGTTTATTTAAAATCATATTTCCTTGAAGCTTATCGACCAGTACGTGAAGGCGATACTTTTATTGTGCGTGCAGGTATACATCCTGTTGAATTTAAAGTTATCAAAACTGATCCAAGTCCATATTGTATTGTTGCACCTGACACCGTTATACGTTATAAAGGTGATCCAATTAAACGTGAAAAAGAAGAAGTATCATTAAATGAAATTGGCTATGATGATATCGGCGGTTTGAGAAAGCAATTAGCTCAAATTAAAGAAATTGTTGAATTGCCATTAAGATACCCACAGTTATTTCAAGCGATCGGTTTTAAACCGCCACGAGGTATTCTTTTATATGGACCATCGGGCGCAGGTATGATTAATTTTTATTTAAAATAAATGAAAAACAAAAATAACTTGTATATTTCAGGAAAAACATTAATTGCTCGTGCAGTAGCTAATGAGATCGGTGCATTTTTCTTTTTAATTAATGGACCAGATATTATGTCCAAACTCGCTGGTGAATCCGAGTCCACGTTACGAAAAGTTTTTGAAGAAGCTGAAAAAGTAAATAGATAATAGTCTTTTTAACTAATAAAAATTATTCAATGATATTTCATTTATAGAATTCTCCAGCTATTATTTTCATTAATAAACTCGATGCCATTGCACCAAAACGTGAAAGAACTAATGATGAAGTTGAACGTCGTATTGTATCACAATTATTAACATTAATGGATGGTCTTATACAACGTTCACATGTTATTATTATGGCTGCAACAAATCGACCATATTCAATTGATCCAGCACTTCGTCGTTTTGATCATGAAATTTATATTGGCATACCTGATGTTGTTGGTCGTTTAGAACTTCTTTGTATTCATACAAAACGTATGAAATTAGCTGATAATATTGATCTTGCACAAATTGCTAATGAAACACATGGTTATGTTGGTGCTGATATAGCATCAATGTGTTCAAAAGCTGCTTTACAACAAATTCGAGAAAAATTAGATGTTATCGATTTAGAAGATAATACAATTGATGCTGAAATTCTTGATTCATTGATTGTTACACAAGAGAATTTTCGATTTGCACTTTGCCAATCATACCCATCAGCATTACGTAAAAGTTTTATTACAGTTCCAACAACCACCTGGAATGATGTCGTTGGTTTAACAAATATTAAACGTCAATTAGAACGACTTGTTAAATATCCATTAGAATATCCAGAAAAGTTTCTTGAATTGGGTATGTTACCATCACGTGCTATTCTTCTTTATGGACCATCAGGTTGTGGTAAGTTTATCTTTTTCGATATTAATTAATTTCTTTTCTATGAATATATATTCTATTGTAGGTAAAACATCATTAGTAAAAGCTATTGCTAATCATTGTCAAATGAAACTAATTTCGATTAAAGGTTCTCAGTTATTAACTATGTCATCTAATCAATCAGAAATCAATGTTTATGACATATTTGTTAGAGCTTGTGAATTAGCACCATGTGTACTCTTCTTTGATGAATTCGATTCAATTTGTAAGAGACAGAATATGAATAGATGAGTAATAACAAATCAACTTGTTTGTTTTCTGTTATAGTCAAAGCTCGTGGTGATTATAATTATAATACCGATCGATTTGTCAATGAAATGTTAACTGAAATGGATAAGATGACTGAAAACACGAATGTTTTTATTATTGTTGCATCAAATCAACCAGATATGATCGATACAAGTTTTTTTCAATCAGGTAAACAAATAAGTGATAAATGATGAATTAAGATCCGAAGGATTTCAATTTATATGTTTAGGTCGTTTCGAACAGTTAATTTATGTTCCATTACCAGATGAACATTCTCGAATGGATATTTTGAAAACATTATTGATTAAATCACCTGTAGATAAAGGTTTTGATATGAATTTCTTGGCCGGAGTAACTAATGGTTTTAGTGGTGCTGATTTATCTAAAATATGTCAACGTGCAGGAAAATTAGCTTTATATGAATCAATAGAAAACAAAAGTCAGCTCATGATTTGTCGACGTCATTTTGAAGAAGCGATGAAGTTGGCACGACGTTCTGTTAATGATAATGAAGTACAGAAATATGAAATATTTGCTTCAAAGTACAATGATATTATTTCCAGTAATCAAGATTTAGTGGTAAACATATAAGAGAATAAAATATTTTGAAAAACGATCTTTTTTCTAATCATAGTCAGTAAATAATCAGGATCAAAATCGTTCTGATGATGATAACTTATACAAACAAACAAAAGAATGATATCAATTCAGAATAAAAACATTTTCTCTTATTTTTTTTAAATAATGTACAAAACGATTTGTTCGTAATTCGAATTTTTTCTTTTAATTAAGAATTAATAATTGAATTCTAATATAAATATTTACTCTTTTTTTACTAGTTTAAATTCCTAACTAAAAACATAATTATATAAATAGCATTTCTTTAAATTCTTTCAAGAGCATTGTGACATGAAAACTAAACAAAGTAATTAAATTTAGCATCTTACTAAAGATAATTCCGGTGGAAAACGCAGATAGTTGGTAGGAATTCACTGGAAAAAGTCTATATAGCTTCTTAAGAGCGTGGGTTTGGATGTTGATGCGGGTATCGAATCACTCGAAATTCACATCCACACAACCTTCAAGCGAGCCTATGAAGATGATCACCTCAATATATATTGGCATGACATTAACAAATATGAAACTTATCTATGAATTATTCAATATATCTCTTCGAAATTAGAATAACGTTTCCTCAAAATTATTGACTATCGTTATTGCCAAGAAAGATCTATCTAATTGAAGTTGCAGATCTGCACGATACCAATATGTCCCGATGGATTTTTGTAAACAAAACTAATATATACTATTACGCTTATCACCAGTGTTCCTAAGGAATCAATTTCTTTTTACACTTTTTTAACAATGTAAATTCTTTGAAGAAAAGAACTACTTAGTTGTCATACGCATGTCTGAAGTTTGCAATAAGTACGGTTTTGTCAAGAAATCCGAAAAAAAAATATATAGAAACATATCAAAACGGATATCTATTTATAATCTAAAAAGAAAGTTGTAAAACTTCACGAGGAGCATTCAAGGACTGAAAAGAAAGGAATTTCTACTTGTTTCTCTCATAACTATCTGGTTCCCAACGTCAAAATAATACCTTATTCACGGCACTATTTTATAACAAACTATGTAAAGAGAATTGAGAATCAGTTCTTAGACACTACTGTCATCACATTTTATTTTTTGCTTCTCCGTTCTCTTAGTATACATATCAACCTTCAATAAAATGTAACGTCAACCCTTGTTTTTTTCTTATTCTTTATTTTCATACAAACATTAATCTTTTATAAAACGCATGGCGATACCTTTTTTTCTGCTGGTTCGTTTCGTTCGTATAAATATTAATCTTTTATAAAACGTACTGTCATATCTTATTTTTTGTTGGCTTACTTCGTTCGTATAAACAACAGTGTTTTACTAAATGCGTCGCATTCGTATTTGTTTTTTTCTTCAGTTCTCACGTGTGTTCGATTATAAACATTAACATATAATCAGTGAATATTGTGTTTGTATTGTAAGTATAATTAGCTACAACTATGCAGATTTTTTAAATATTATTTTTTGTCCATCTGTGAGAAAACTACAACTTCATCGTTTTGTAATTTCACTTAAAAAAAAAAGCTTGAAGGAAAATTCTGAGTATTATTCATCATTTTGTGAGACTGCTGGAGTGTCTTTTGTTATAAGGAAAGTAGATATAAACAGTTCATGCGTATTCTTTCACTTCTATATTATAGATCATTGTTTTTTGTAACTTATGGCTCACCGCAAAATAAAAATGTTCAATCAAGAATATAGATCGACAGATAACTCAGGCTTCGATTCACTTCAACTAGATAAATCTGCTTTAATATCTCAACCAGGACGAGGTGAAGTGCTAATCAAATTTCATGCTGTTTCGCTCAACTACAGGGATTTGTGCATTAGCCGAGGAGAGTATTCAATGCCAACGAAACCAGACACTGTACCAGTTAGTGATGGTGCAGGTGAAGTAACAGCTGTTGGTGAAGGAGTAAGAGTTCTCAAAGTTGGCGATCGTGTCTCACCTAACTTCATTCTCGATCACTTAGGTGGACAACTTGCAGAAGAGAGTCTCAAATCAGCTCTTGGTGGTGCCATTGATGGTTGTCTACGTCAGTATGGCGTCTATCCAGCTGTGAGTTGTGTCAAGATTCCGCATTGCCTCTCTTATGAAGAAGCAGCAACATTACCGTGTGCAGCGCTGACAGCATGGAATTCACTTTATGGGTTGGCAGATAGAAAACTGGAACCGGGTCAAACTGTTCTCGTACAAGGCACTGGTGGTGTTGCTCTCTTTGGTGCACAATTTGCAATAGCCGCTGGCGCAAGGGTCATTATAACGTCGTCATCCAATGAGAAAATTGCTGCTGTAAAGAAATATTTAGGTGAAAAGAATGTTTGCACAATTAATTATCGTGAAACACCAGAATGGGGCAAGAAAGCGAAGGAATTGAGTCATGGAGGTCGAGGAGTTAACCATATTTTGGAAGTTGGTGGTGAAAAGACTTTGCCACAATCATTAGAAGCTCTTGCTTTCGGTGGCTCAATTGGCATTATCGGATTTGTTGCAGGAACCGACGTTTCGAGCTCTACTGGAAATGGCATTACGATGCAAATATTAATGAAGAACGCCAATGTTCGTTCAGTTTTGATTGGTAGCGTAGAGCAATTTAATGCTATGAACGCGGCCATTGAAATGCATAGGATTAAACCTATTGTTGACAAGGTCTTTGAATTTGAAGATTTTACGGATGCATATGAATACTTATTTTCACAGAAGCATGTGGGAAAAGTCGTTGTCAAGATACCGGAATAATTGAATTCGAAAAAGAAAATGGCTTGTAGATAAATGCTTTTATAACGACCATTCGAACTAACATGACAAGTGTTCGTTTTTTTTTGTATTTTTATATCAAGTCAGTCATTTCTGAGTATATTTCGTTATAATAAATCTTTGAAGAGAACATTCAAGACGTCACTAACAAAGGCTATACCACATAATCTTCTGAAACATTCGCTATTATTCTATGTATATGAAGGTGATGCAAGGAAGAAGATCTTCTTCGGGCATTCGAAGTCGTTCCGAGTTAGGGATGAACCATTTATATACATAGTGTTAAATGTCTGCTATCAGATCAAAGAAAATCAGCCATATAAGATCATGAAACTCTTCTGGTTAGGAGAATTAGTCTAGTTCTATCTCAAGCTATTTCAGTTCATTCTCATATATTCCCACCCATTGAAGGTAGATGTAAGTGTTACGCTCGTCTCATACCTATTCACACCCTTGAAACGTCGAATACTATTAGAGATTCGATAAAAAATAAATCGTTACTACTAATTTTATATTTACATGACAAAAAAAATAATGGAGCAGAATATCTCTATAGTTATGACAAGTCTCTTTGCTTTTTAATAAGTAATTATTGTGTTAGTTGTTCTTAATTCCGATCCTATAGACAGATTTATTTGAAAATAATTCATTTGTTTATCAACATTTGATACTTCAATTCTATCGTATTACGTTTATTTTTAAGGTGTGAAGAAGATCACACCCACCCTACAATTCTATAGGTTAAAGAAAAAATAACTTTTTTATGAATCGCCATACACAGAGAGTACACCATACGAATTGAAATGTTTTTTTCTTTTTTCTATATGCAACAAGATCAAAATAATAGTTTAAAAAATCATCTTCTAACATGAAAAGATTCATTTATAAATATATATATATATAGATCCGCCTTAATGTGTTAATTTTAAATATCTCAAAAAATCTTTTTTTATTCTTCTTTTGTAGTTGTTAAAATCATTTAAACTGTATTGCCTGATATTTCTTTCTTTCTTTTACTATTTTAATATGTCTTTGGAGGTATGATAAATTATATAAAATTTCTTTTCTTGTCTTCCTGTAGCGTTTGATAATTGGTAACTCTTATGGATCAATAAAATTGATATGTTAAAAAAAAACATGATTCACTGACATTGACTTCAATTTTTTTCATTCCTGTTCTTAGCACATCGTCAAATATATTCTAATAGTGAACGAGACAGTGACAAGGCACTTTTCTTTCACATAAATAAGTGCCTTGTCATTCACGTGTGTCTTTGTGTATAAATAAAGAAAGAAAAAAGAAATTTGTGTTCGTTTTTTTTCTTTGCCGTCATTGCCATTTATTTCAATGAGTGAAAAATCTCCTTTACGTATTCTAACATTTGGCGTAAGTGAAAGTACTGCTCGTGGAGTTAATGATCGTCTTCGTAGTAGAGGCATCGATGCTGAATCACATGTCGTCTCAAACACACCAACTAGTGATGCTGAAATCGTTAATATTTTGACTTCTAAACATTGGGATGGCTTCTTAGTTGGTTATGGTGTACGAAAAGAGCCTGAATGGTTTGAGCGACTTCAGCAAGTTGCAAAAAATGCAAATCCAGATGTGCCTTTAATCAATCATAAAACTATAGATGACCTAGAAAATTCCATCGAACGTCATTTTAATATTCAACTACCTCCTGCGACAGCCTAGTTTACCACGGCAATACTCAATTGATTTTGTCCGGATTCAACAAACATCAATCACAACATTATTTCTCATATTTCAAATCTTTCTTTTTTATTTCACCTATCATTGGTTTGAAGTTGTATATCTTTTATTTTCTTAACTTAATATACGGTACAACAATGTGTCATTTAAACCATAATCTTTTTTGTATTCAAATAAATTTTTCAATTAGTAAATAAAAAAGCTATGCTCTGCTCTTATCACATCAATATAATTGCCATTTTTACGATATTATCTTGACTCAGGTTTAGTTTTGCATTGTTGGACAGGTATTTTATTAATGCAAAGATTCAAAACTCCCATATATCTTTTTACAAATTGTAATAAAGAAAATGTATAATTGTGGGTGGTTGGTGCAGGTGTGAATGAGATATAAATATGATATCTTCACCCACACCCTCGTTCTCTCTATTCGTCCCTTGCACTGAAACAGACTTATAAGGATATACACGGTTGATGTACTGTGTTGATATAATTTATTTTATGCTTTTTTTCTTTTTTGTCTAATTTGTTTCATATGCAAATGAATCTATTCTTTCTGTCGTTGTGCGACACCTCTTTTTCTATTTTTCTACTCGATTGATTAATGATCAAACAATAGGCAAGGACGCAAGAATAAAATTTAGTTTTTACTTTTGACTCTTTTATATTTATATTCAATAACTCATTATTGTATGCTATGCTCTACCAACTGTTAGTCTCGATCATAAATTAGATCATAAATAACCTTATTTTTCTTACAAGATGTGTACTTTCAACAAGTATTGCCTCGATGCAGCGGTAAGTAGTACAGATTGTGTTTCAATTCTGCGAGGACATTATGTTCAAGTTCTGTATAAACTCTCATGCTGTTGAGCTAGACTCTTCACGATGACATTCCAATCTGTTTATTAATATTTGTTTTAGATTAGTTGTATATATTATGAATCTAGTGCAACAAGGTCTTTCGACTTAGAACGGTTCGCAGCTGCCTTCCTCTATAAACTGAACCATAAATAATAATACAGTCAAAAATTAAAATATCACGGATTGATATGGTTCATCCTGAATGGGATAAAAAGATATCGATTGATGACAGTTGCGTTTATCATTTTACTTTTTCGAAATGATTAAATTTGATTCAAATCAATTCTTGATTTTATCAATTTATATTGTTCAAATAAGATTTACTACAACAGATCACTTTTCTACTTCCAGAATTTCAGAACTAAACAATAATAAATTACATAAATGTCTTTCATTATCATTGCCATTGTCGACACGTATTATTTATCCGTGTAATACTTTAAAAAATCAAAATAGTTTTCAATATCAATGTACTCATTTCAATGTTAGTAGTCTCTCGAGTATTTTGGGAGGTCGAATTTCTCATTCGCCTGCTGTTATTATTTATCCAAGAGACAGTAGTGATGTTCAAAATGTAGTCAAATGTGCAACAAAATTAAATTATATTGTCAATGCATTAGGCGGAGGTCATAGTTACGAAGGATATGGATTAGGTTCAGTGTATAACAATATTATAATTAATATGGAACGAATTAATTACATTAATATAGATCAATATGATAGAATTGGCACATTTGGAGCTGGTGCTAGACTTGGTCCAATCTATTATACAGCATATCAACATGGGAACTTAACGATTAATGGTGGATCTTGTCCATGGGTAGGATTAGCTGGTCATGCACTTGGCGGTGGTTTTGGTTTTCTTGCTCGATTACATGGATTATTATCTGATAATATTATAGAAATGACAGCCGTTAATGATCAAGGTAAATATATCTCATTTCTAACGTTACGATTGCCAGATATAAGAGAAAAGATTGAGTATTTAGAATCATAAACCTTCTGAAGTCTTTTTAATTTCTAATAGGTGAATTATTGACAATAAATGAAACACATGAACCTGAATTATATTGGGCATTACGTGGTGGTGGTGGAGGTTTGTTTGTTATTGTAACAGAATTTAAATTTCGACTAATTAAACCTCCATCAGTTGTAACAACATTTTTATCTATATGGAATACGAATGCAACAAAATACGTAATACAGCGATATCAATCATTGATATTTAATAATAGAACATTAAATTTAAATAAAAATATATTTATGGAAATGTTTGTGAACAAAACTCATGTACAAATTTTAATAATTAATTTTGATATTGACTTAAAAGAATTTAATAAAACTATATTATTATTTTTGAAGGGATTACCAACTTCAAATAATATTAGTTTCGATAAACAAGATTGGTTAAATTTTGTTTATAAACATTCAGGATTGGACAATCTTAATGGTGATCATCGACATTTATTACTTGAAAATTTAACATTGCCAACATATAATTTTAAAGGAAAACATTTATTTTATAATCAATCAATAAATAATCATAGTCTTGAACTAGTTATTCATCGATTAGCATTAGCTGATGGGAATATTTCTATGTTATTCAATCCTTGGGATGGTTATCTAAGTGAAATTCCAGTTAACAAAACTGCGTTTCCACATCGAAATTTTAAATTTGGTGTTCAATTTATGAATTATTGGATTGATCGTCAGCAGGAAGAGAAACAAATGAATTTATTAAATCAAATATATTTATGTCTGTATAATGATTCAACAAAATATTCGTATATAAATTATATTGATAGAACTGAAAATAATTGGATGAATGTTTACTATAATACACATCAACAACGATTAATTTCCATCAAAAATATTTATGATAAAAAAAATAGATTCTCTTTCGAAAGAACAATACAAATCAATCAGAAGAAAACAACATACAGTTTTACAATTTTTATCTTACTATTTTTCTCCTACTGATGTTTTTTGTGTAAGCAAACATTTATAGAAGAGTGTGAATATGATTATCTATATTAAATTTAAGCTGTAAATAGTCTATTCCCTGTTAAGAATTTATTCTGAAACCAATGGAATCAAATACTGTGATAGAATGATAAAAATTTATTAATAAATATATGGCGTGATTATACAAAAAGCACATTAAAAGGCATGATAAACACTACAATTCGTAGTTCTGTTTTTTTTCTCCATTTTAACCATCGTCATCATTTTGACGAACAGCTCTTATTGTTGTTCCTCCTCTAGTTGTTGTAGGTGCTGGAGCTTGACGAAGTACTTTTGTTCGAATAACTTGAAAAAACTCACGTCGATACATATCCGATGATATAAAAAAGTTAGCAAATGTTAATGAAAATCCAAGATAAATAAGAACATATGTCATATTACTGAGAAATGTTTCAGTTGCTCTACGAAATGGTGATTTCACTAATGTTATGGTTAATGATCGATATACGAGATAACAAGGATTTGGCAAATTGAGTATAATAAAAAGAATTATTTGATTTGCCAACATTCTATGAAGTTGAACATCTTTCTTTGACATTTTACCGGATTTTTTAGATCGACCTGTATCAGTCGTTGGAGCAGCATCAACTCGTTTTTTTGTTTTATGGATATTTCTAACAGTGAGTAATCCAAAGATAAGCATTAGTAATAGAGGGAGAATTCCACTATCAATTGAAATGTAAATACTAAAAAATACTCCATAAGCTCCTGAACCGTATGAACAGCTACCACTGGAAATGTCGTAGAAGACAAGAACCTGAATATATATGATAGACCACAAGATTATATTGCCAATAATTAGGCGAACAGCAATTTTTGTTGAACTTTATTGTCGACGACGGGCACTGCGAGAACTAGCGAAATAACGGTCAATCGAAGCCATAATGATGTAATAACGGGGGACAGCAACAAAAAGATAAAAGAAATAAAATCGCGCTTTACAAAACCAAAGATCAATGTTAATAGCAGTAATACCATAACCATATTGAAGCATTCGAGTGAGAAGAGCAAAGTTGAAAGTAAAAAACTGTGCAACACTTGATGCAAGAAAATACATGGCACACGGGCTTTTGCCATAAGTTGGTTGAGAAAACACAATACAATTGAAAATTGACCCGAGGTTGCCAATGAGCCAGATAAGACCTAAACCATATTGTGAAATAGTTTTGTTGAGAAGATTGACGAGTGCAATCAGATTAGCCTGATTGTCAGCAGTGACGATAGCAGTACTATTTGTCGTTATGTTGGACATTTTGTGAGAAAATCTGTAGAGAAAAAAAGATTTGTTACAGTATAAATATAAAATATTGCATTCTTCACTCCCATCGATTATTAATTAGTTCCCGTCTGTATATCATAATACAATCGTTAAAGATTTTGTATGAGATACATAATGATCTAACCGACCGTCATTTGCATTTCCGTTTAAATATATAACACGTGATATTCATCAGTTGAATGAATTATTATGTTTATTCCACTTTCAATATTATCTTTTAATGATGACTTATTTAGTTTAGTATTATTTTGCTGGATTCTATATTTGATTGGGATGAATCCAGGGAAATTATCAATTTAATATATGTATTGTGCGCAAAAGAAGATTGAAAAACTACGAGTTCATGTGACATATTTTTCAATTAATTTGTATTGATAGGATATTGTTGTGTTTTCTCTAGGATTCATTCAATTAAAATAGTGAATACTCTGTAATACATAATGACATAGATCACAAAATCATATCTACGAATGAATGTCATGGAATTACTACAAGTTCTGAAGTCGAAATTTGATATAAATTTATTTGTCTTATGTGATAAAGATCACAAGAAATCTTCGTGAACATACTTTCAAATTGAAATGGCATTACTGAATAATTCAGAGAGAGAGTAACAAAGAAAACAAGTTTTATCTACCTTCAATAACGAAGAGTCTCTATTTTTCATTCAAAGAAGTCATATTAAATTCTAATTTCTGATAATAAAAATTGTTTTTAAATGATATCAATTGATATAAACTCTTAGACTCTATCATCCTCAGTGCTTACCTTTAGAAAAAAAGTGGTAAACGAGTTATATTCTTTGGATGAACTGATGAAAAGAGGAACAAACAAAAAGTAATCATCTTTCTACTAATGGTTTCATTCATAAATGTGAAAAGACAGAAACACCGATGATGATGAATACTGTCTAATAAAACAGAGACGACTACCACTTAGTTTCAATACATTATCAAATAAACCATATTGAAAGAAATGCATTGATCTGTGAAATGTATATTTTTCTAAATTTGTTTGAAAATTAGTCTTTTTAACAAAACAATTCAGTAAAACATGATCTGTAGAATGATGTTGTGATCGACTACGGTAGTTTGTATGACAACAAAGTTATAACCTTCGAAAAATATTTCACAATAGAAATGTACTAAAGATTAGACAATATACTCCACATAGAGATGCATTATCCTTCATTTATTGTCTTTCTTCTAAGCTAGAACCTTTCTTACAGTATCATATGAACGACAACAGAATAAATATATGAAAAAAAGACCTGTATGATAACCGCTAAGTTCAACTTATACATGCGGCATACGATTAAAAACACAGCCATTGAGAAAAGAATTCGTCAGTTCATCTGTTTGAAGAACCCTCCGTAATAAATGCTCCCTTGGTATTAAAAAAACGTTTCAAGTGTGTGTAGATAGGCATATATTTATTTATAAAGACATCGCGTTGACATATAAAAGCAGATTAAAAAGCATTAGAAATACTAGAAGCAGTACAAGTTATAGTTCTATTTTGTTATTTTGTCAATTTTAATCAGCACCGTCATTTTGACGAGGACCCCTTATTGTTGTTACTGCTACCGTTGTTTGTACAGTTGCTACGGATGGTGTTGCAGCTCTACGAAGTACTTTTGTTCGAATAACTTGAAAAAACTCGCGTCGATACATATCCGATGATATAAAGAAGTTGGTAAATGTCAATGAAAATCCAAAGTAAATTAGAACATATGTCATATTGCTCACAAATGTTTCAGTTGCTTTACGAAATGTTGATTTCGCTACATTTATAGTCACTGAACTATAAATAAGATAACATGGATTTGGTAGATTAAGAATAATAAAAAGAATTATTTGATTTGCTAACATTCTATGAAGTTGAACATCTTTCTTTGACATTTTACCATCTTTTTTAGCTTGACCTGCATTAGTTGTTGGAGCTGCATCAATTCGCTTCTTTGTTAAATGGATATTTCTGACAGTGAGTAATCCAAAGATAAGCATTAACAATAGTGGAAGAGCTCCACTATCAATCGAAATATAAGCACTAAAAAATATTCCATAAGATCCTGGTCGGTATGAACAACTACCGTTGTTAATCTCATAAAAAACCAGAACCTGAATATATACGATACACCAGAAGATGACAGTGCCAATAATTAGACGAAGAGCAATCTTTGGTGAACTATATTGTCGACGAAGAGCATTTCGAGAACTAGCAAAGTAACGATCAATCGAAGCCATAATGATGTAATAACGAGGAATAGCCACAAAAATATAAAAGAAATAATAGCGAAATTTACAATAATAAAGATAAACGTTAATAGCATTAACACTATAACCAAATTGAAGCATTCGAGTGAAAAGAGCAAAGTTAAAAGTAAAAAACTGTGCAACACTTGAAGCAATAAAATACATGGCACAAGGACTTTTGCCATAAGCTGGTTGAGAAAACACAATGCAATTAAAAATCGATCCGAGGTTGCCGATGAACCAGATAAGACCTAAACCATATTGTGAAATAGTTTTGTTAAGAAGATTGACGAGTGCAGTCAAATCAGCCTGAGGGTCTGTGGCTGTGATGCTGGTACTGTTCATTGTTATGTTGACCATAATTCACAGAATCTGTAGAGAAAGAAAAAAAAGGTTCTACTTTATATGAAATTTCATTTTTGGAATTTTATTCATCAAATATGATGACATCGCGATTCACTTCTACACAAAATGTACTCTCGAACTATTCCTCGAAATAAAAATGTCTCAATATTAGATAGATGACGGAAGTAAGTGATGCAAATAAGAAAAGAAAATCACATTAAGATGGTGTGCTTATTAGTGTTACATTTACTTTGAGATATGTCACACGCTATATTCTTGGATTGACTGAATGTTTTGAGAAAACATTTATATTTTAATATATGTTGATCAATACGCAGTTAAAAGGTTATATGAGTCTTATTTTTATGTTTTAATGATAACTTATTTAGTTTAATCTCCTTTTGTTGGAATTCAATATTCCACGGAAAACTTAAAAGAAATTGCAATAACAATAAATCCAAATAAATACTTTTTTAATCAGTAAGTATTTATAGAATATACACTTGTTTTTTTTTCTCTAAAATTCATTCATTTCGAAAAACTACATACTTAGTAATACATACTGAATATAAATCAAAAGGCTTTATCATAGACATTTCTAATAAAATGCGTATAGTTTGAAATAAAAGGCAAGAAGAGAATAAGTCGTTATGCATTTTATCTACTGCCAGTGGACTCTAATCAACGATATAAATATCATGTGGAAAAAGTTTCATCATCATAAGCGCTTCCTTTCTGAGTGCAATAACTATTTTTAATTCAACAAAATATTTTTGTTTTTGTCTACACTTTACAATTGAAATTAATTTAGTCAATTCATCCATATTGATACAATCATCTCATTTGAACTAACGGTTTCCAGAGTTAAATATTTTGACAATATTCTGAATAAAAGATAATTGCAACATTATTATAGTTCTTTGATTATCTATACTCTATCATCCAATGACTTCGAGGATTTGAATAACAAAAACAAAAAAAAAACAATAAATGAAGTTGTATATAAATTTCTTTCGGTTAATTTACATTATTTCTCAGAAGGGCACTTTCTTTTTTACTAGAAGAACACTCACAATCAGTTACGAGTTGTCTAAAACAAAGGTCAGTTGCATACAGACTCTAATCTCAGATAATATATAGGCGCTAGATTTTGTAAAGTCAGTTAAAATGATCTCCATAGAACAACTATAAATCAGACTGTCATTAGTTAATTCATGTATTTTTTATCAATTGTAATCATGATAGATATTTCTGTATCTTAATTCAATATTAGAAATCTGTTTATTTAGTCAAAGATTTCGGAAAACTATCACTATGATCTAATCACAGATCTTATAAGGGATGATCCGAGACTGACGCTAAAATTGCATGGATCAGCTACACTATTCAACTATAAAACAATTATCTTCTGACGCTGATTCAATAAAAAGTTGTTGTCAAAACATTTTTTCTAAAGTATTGTATTTGTTTCTAGAAATATTGTCTGATGACAAAATATACCAAAGATATATATATATAATGAATCTATTTTCTACTAGTAGTATAGTATGACAACACTGCACTTGTGTATTCCGCCTAAATTTTTTCGATTCTGTGTCAGTACAGTGATTGTATACATTAACATAACAACAAATAATAAGTGGTCACATATACATCGATATTATTCCTCGAAATAATATCTTAAAAATACATTGTTCAATGCACGATCAACTATCAAAAATTAAATTTTCGTCGACGATATAGTATGCATGATTTAAATAGGTTTATTGATCGGACGATCTGGGTACTTTTGAGAACGTGAAAGATTTTTACTGTTCACTTGTATGTGCAGTGCTGTCATACTATAAAACTAATAGGAAAAAGCTTCAATATGTATACCTCTTTGGTATGTTTGTCGCTAGACAATATTGCTAGACACGAATATGATACAGACGCGTACTCTACGATCTTCGACTAGTATATATTTATTGGAAAAAATCTTCGAATGATTTTATTTTTGTTTTGAACTATACGAAATTGTTACAATATTGAATTTCCGTGTTCTTAAAAAATTTCTACTCTGATCAAAATTTAATCAAAACAATAAAAGTCATGATACTCTTATTTATACCACTTACCTATAAAGAAAAATTTGCCAACTAACATTAGTTTTCTTTGCGGTGAGGATTCCAGCTGTGAATATCACAAAGAATAAATAATGATTATTACTATTTGTATCGATGAGGAACACTAGCTGTGTTTTTCATTTTCTAATTTTATCTTTGAAAAACAAAGATTTATATAGATAACTAGACGAACAGTGCAAACAAAGGTTGATTGAGTCCAAAAAAATAAGTACTGGAAATAGACGATAACATAGAAGATATCAAAATGAATCAATACATTCAATATTCGTTGTAACAATGATGTCTTGTGAACCCTCAGGTTTAGCCAATGATAAGAAAAAATTAAAAGAGCATATCTACACTCTTCGGAACTCTCACTCACATCCTTACAGTTAAAGCGAGTTAATAAAGACATCATATAATATTGATGTTTATCTTTTTAATAGTAAAACCAACTTCCTTCACTTGTTACTACCAATCCTTCTCATTCCTGTATGCCGATATATTTCTGGGAACACTAACTTTATTCGATTCTATTCTTTACGGCAATTGTCTAAATATTTGATACCTTGATGGTGTGCAATATATTCTAAAATATTATTCAAATTAATTCGAACTTTATCGAAGAAAGAAAATATAGCAAATATTTCGGTTCACCTATCTTTGAGCAATGATTTATTTCATAATAAAACTATTGTAGAGAACTAAACTTATAATTTACATGTCCATCAAGAAAAGGAATGATATCCTGCAAAGTGTCATCATCAAACATTATATTTCGAAAGATCTCTCTGTCGTACTAATAATAAACCATAAAATATTGCCAGTAAAAACTATTATCAAAGTGAAAATTCAAATTCAATCAGATTTCAATGATCTTCGTATTTACGACAGACAAACATTTATTGATGAAAACATTAATTGAGTATACAAAAAGCACATTAAAAAGCATAAAAAATACGTGAAATATTACTAGTCATAGTTCTGTGTTTTTTATTTGATTCATTTTAATCGTCTCCATCGTTTGGACGAAGAGCTCTTACTGTTGTTCCTCCTCCAGTTGTTGTGGTTACAGGACGCTGACGAAGTATTTTTGTTCGAATAACTTGAAAAAACTCGCGTCGATACATATCCGATGATATAAAAAAGTTAGTAAATGTTAATGAAAATCCAAGATAAATAAGAACATATGTCATATTGCTCGCAAATGCTTCAGCTGCTTTACGAAATGTTGATTTCGCTACATTTATAGTAATTGAACTATAAATAAGATAAATTGGATTTGGTAGATTAAGAATAATAAAAAGAATTATTTGGTTTGCCAACATTCTATGAAGTTGAACATCTTTTTTCGACATTTTACCATCTTTTTTAGCTTGACCTGCATTAGTTGTTGGAGCTGCATCAACTCGTTTCTTTGTTAGATGGATATTTCTGACAGTGAGTAATCCAAAGATAAGCATTAGTAATAGAGGAAGAGCTCCACTATCAATCGAAATATAAGCACTAAAAAAGATTCCATAAGATCCTGGTCGGTATGAACAGCTACCGTTGTTAATCTCATAAAAAACCAGAACCTGAATATATACGATACACCAGAAGATGACAGTGCCAATAATTAGACGAAGAGCAATCTTTGGTGAACTGTACTGTCGACGAAGAGCATCACGAGAACTAGCAAAGTAACGATCAATCGAAGCCATGATGATGTAATAACGGGGGACAGCAACAAAAATATAAAAGAAATAGAAGCGAAACTTACAATAATAAAGATAAATGTTAAGAGCATTGACACTATAACCATATTGAAGCATTCGAGTGAAAAGAGCAAAGTTAAAAGTAAAAAACTGTGCAACACTTGAAGCAATAAAATACATTGCACAAGGACTTTTGCCATAAGCTGGTTGAGAAAACACAATGCAATTGAAAATTGATCCGAGGTTGCCAATGAGCCAAATAAGACCTAAACCATATTGCGAAATGGTTTTGTTTAGAAGATTAACGAGTGCAGTTAAATCAGCCTGAGGATCTGTGACTGTGATGCTGGTACTGTTCATAGTTATGTTGACCATGATTTACAAAATCTGTAATACAAAAAAAGAATTAAAATGCTACTATATACGATATCAATTATCTTTCAGTCTTTGCTTTCAGATGATTGTATAGTGGTTTCGCTTATTAAAACATAATCTTATACATAAAAATACGAATGTAAAGTTGAGTTCTTTTTTTGGGGACGAAACTGATATTCTAACGTGACACATGTACTAGTAAAACTACTGTAGTATTTTCTAATTATTTATTCTTAGTATTATTATGACATAAAATATAGATGTTTCTCACTTCAACAATACGTGAATGACTGATAGATAGCGAACAGCACTTTATATTTTATTACAGTTTGATAACTATTCTTATCTATACTCACGTATTAACACTCGTTTAATTTGTTTTGTTATAGAACTACATAGATAGAGAAAAAACACCTCTACTTCATATTGACAGACTGATGAATTGTTGTGTTCATTTCAGTGACAATATTATCTTATAACGATGACTTATTGAGTTTAATCATGATTTGTTGGATTCTATATCTATGTAAATATCTCTCGAGGATTCATTTAATTGAGACAACAGAATCCGTAACAATATTTAATGATACAGATTATAACTTGGTATAAATATAAGAAAGTCATAGAATTACTACAAGTTCTGAACTGAACTTTTAATCATAGAGAAAGCCATATCCGTGGAATGATGAGTAATAAGGATCACTTGAGATGAGACTTATGTTGTAGAATAGAGTCTACTGATGATAGATAAAGCTTAAAATGATTCATTTTCTCGTTATATTCTTTCCGAATTATGATCATTTTACTAAGTTTTTGATCTATTACAAGATGTATCAAATAACTTCATTTCAACGTAAAAGTGCATTTATGAAAAGATTCTGTGACCTTCAATCACACCTAAAAGGTTTCGATGAAAGTTACCTGAGGAAAAAATGTTAAAGTTGAAATGATCTTACCGAATATAGCCTGTACTAGATCAGAAATCTCATAAAATATTTATAATTCAGAAAGAAAATATTAGAAGAATGAGTTGTTATAGATTCTCCTGACATTCACTGGATTCTACTTTCAACGCAAAGCATTCCTTTTCTATATCATGGTAATGCGGTCTGTGATAATAATAAACCTCGAATAATATCATTAAAAATACTTCTTTTTACTTAACAATCGTTACAATAATATCACACATCCTTAACTATATGAATGGTTCTTGAATTTGATTCGAACATGATTTTTTTTAAAAAGGAAATAGCGAAAGAGAAAATCTTTTGCATTAGAAGATGTGTAGTTTTACATATTCCATTCTTTTAATGAGCGAGGAAATGCTTTGAACGAGAAGAAGAGCGATGATTAAGGATAGCGTCACACACATGTGCTTCTCTGGAAGGGGGTTATTATTCTGTCTAATAAATTCTGCATATATCAATCCATTGATATGTGAAATAATTAAAAAAATGATTTGAGATTTCACATTAATACGGAAAACAACAGTATAAATACACAGGTTATCAAAATTTCGATAGAATTTGATCAAATCTCGCTGTTGCAATGGTTCATTCGAATTATCTATTTTTATTCGTCTTTCAAAAATGGTTAAATAATCATCGTTAATAAGAGATTTCAGAAAAAACCGTAAACGTGTTTTTTTAATAGTTTTCCAAATAGAGTGTTCATTTTTTCTTCAAACATCGAGTTGAAGAAAAGCAAATTAACTGAGTGAGAATAAGGTTAATATCTCATTGGCTCAATTAAATATGCTAAAAAATTAGATTTAGAAGTTCAAAAGTGGGGATGAATTACTGTTTTAAAAATGAACTTATTTCGAGCTATGTTTGTCAGAGATGGCGAAGCGCAGCCTAATATGATTGAAGTGTCGTTAATTTGAAAAGATATGATGCCATCGGTGGAGACAAAATAAACTTTAATATCATAGCTGTGAGCCTCGGAGAGACACATTTTTATTTATAGTTGACTGTGGATTAATTGAAATTAATGCAGCTAGAATAGAATGAAAACATGTCTCATCTACTAAGGACAAATACATATTTATTACTGAATACATTGCTTACTTACACGAAAAAGCAGATAAAAAGACATGATGAACACTAAAAATTATACTTCTGTTTTTTCCTTGTGTCAATTGTTATTATCGCCATTATTTTGACGAGCAGCTCTTACTGTTGTTCCTCCTCCAGTTGTTATGGGTGCCGGCGATTGACGAAGTATTTTTGTTCGAATTACTTGAAAAAACTCGCGTCGAAACATATCCGATGACACAAAAAAGTTAGCAAATGTCAACGAAAATCCAAAGTAAATTAGAACATATGTCATATTACTGACGAATGTTTCAGTTGCTTTACGAAATGGTGATTTCGCTACATTTATAGTCACTGAACTATAAATAAGATAAACTGGATTTGGTAAATTCAGGATAATGAAAAGAATTATTTGATTTGCTAACATTCTATGAAGTTGAACATCTTTCTTTGACATTTTACCATCTTTTTTAGCTTGACCTGCATTAGTTGTCGGAGCTGCATCAACTCGTTTCTTTGTTAGATGGATATTTCTGACAGTGAGTAATCCAAAGATAAGCATCAGTAATAGTGGAAGCATTCCACTATCAATTGCAATATAAACACTAAAAAATATTCCATAAGATCCTGGTCGATACGAACAGCTGCTGTTGTTAATCTCATAGAAAATAATAATTTGAATATATATGATACACCAGAAGACGACGGTACCAATAATTAGACGAAGAGCAATCTTTGGTGAACTGTACTGTCGACGAAGAGCACTTCGAGAACTAGCAAAGTAACGATCAATCGAGGCCATGATGATGTAATAACGAGGAACAGCCACAAAAACATAGAATAAATAAAACCGAATTTTACAATAATAAAGATAAACGTTAATAGCATTAACATCATAACCATATTGAAGCATTCGAGTGAGAAGAGCAAAGTTAAAAGTAAAAAACTGTGCAACACTTGAAGCAATAAAATACATTGCACAAGGACTTTTGCCATAAGCTGGTTGTGAAAACACAATACAATTGAAAATTGATCCAAGATTACCAAGAATCATAACAAAACCTAAAAAATATTGTGAAATAGTTTTGTTGAGAAGATTGACGAGCGCAGTCAAATCAGCTTGATCGTCTGTGACTGTGATGTTGGTACTGTTCATTGTTATGTTGGTCATAATTTACAGAATCTGTAATAAAAAAAAGTAAAGCGGCGTCTTTTCTAAATTATAACAAAAGATTATCTATTCTACATTCAAATTGTCGAATCGATCTACGTAGCTTTCTTTTATAGATAAAGTTTTGATTTAATATCAATAATGTTATCTCCCATCTCACGAATATACTCATATTAAAAATTTTGTTTAGTTTGTGCTAACTACAAAATTAGATAAGTAACAGAAGAAAAGTACTTTGGGATATGTGTTATTTGCGATGTCACTTTCGTCTGATACTTCATAGATATAGATCAATGAAATGCTATGTTTATTTTATTGTCAATATTATCTTATAATGATGACTTATTTAGTTTAATCGTGTTTTCTGGGATTCTATATTTGATTGTTGAGAATCCAAATAAATATCATCATTACAAGATTGAAATAACTATAAATCCATATAAAATATTTTTCAATCAGTTTGTATTTGTGGAATATTGTTGTTTTCTCGGGGATTCATTCGATTAAAAAAAAGTGAATACTCGATAATGTAGAATGACGCAGAATATAACTTGAAGTAAATATTAGCATGTCATCGAATAACTGCAAGTTTTGAACTCAAAGTTTATTCGGACAGAATTAGAATTCAATTATCGAGAGAGTCATATCATTGAAAGAAATGAGATTTATATTGTTCAATAAAGACTATGAATGGTAAAGAAAATCTAAGATGATTAGTTTTCTTCTTACTTTCCTTCCAAACTATGTTTATTCATAGAAAGATTTGTTGACCTTAAAATGAGATTATAGATTTATATGTCAAACTCACTATTGATTGGAAATCTGTTATCTGACAAAAATATGTTAAAGTTGAAATGAACCTATTGATTATACTCTCTATTATGAAACAAAAATCTAGTAAATGGTTATATCTGGAATAGAAAGCAGCAAAGGGAATAAATTATTACAGCTTTGGTTTACACTCAATAATTCTTAGTTTGGATGAAGAGCTTCTGTTCTTTACAGTCTGATAAGCTGCACTTAGGAGATAATAAACCTCTAACGATATCATTAAAAACACTTCTTTTACTCAATATAATAATTCATCCTTTTCTACTTGAATATTTGTTAATTTCAATAAGAGCATTTTCTCTATTAGCATGCAATATGCAAATATCTGTCGCCTCGATAAATAGGATTATAATTTTACCCATTTTCCCCATTATACTTTTTGTTTGATAAGGCATACATCTATCTGAATTTTACTTTTGTACGTATCTTAATTCTTATTAAAACTTGATAGAAATTATTAGACACTATCATCCTTAATACTTACCTATGGGAAAAAAGTAACGAACAAACAATATAAGAAGATGTGTGATTATACGAGTCTTATTCTTTTACTTGATAGAAGAAAAGAAAGAAAAACAAAACTTAATCGTCTCTCTGCTAGTAGTTTTATTCATAAATGTAAAAAGACAAAAATCCTGCCGATGATGATGAATATTGTGATATGCATGGTGCATGATATTTCATCATATGGTTGAATAAATCTCATTCAAAGCAATTAATCAATGTAACATAATTTTAAAAAGAAAGTTTAGATTATAAAGAGTGACAGGGTGTATGTTTTCGACTCGTTTCACTCACATCAACATATATTCTTGAAATCGGAGAAGATTTTCTTCTAAATGATTATGTCGACACGGACTTTAACTGATCAAATAAATAGATAATTGTTTATTTATTTGATTTCTAAAAGAATTTAAAAAATAACTCAAGAAATTCATAGCAATAATAAAGAAAATTATTCGATACATTTTTCTTTTTTAAGTAAATGTAAATATTCGGAAATTATATTCTTTCTGTTCTTCATCTTGAGTGGTTTATCTATGCTATATATACTCATTATTACTAGAGTGCATAATGTAAAACACGATTAAACTATTATTGCTTATGGAAAAAAGATAACTTATATCTATAACAATTGATAATGTTTTCGTAGCTATATCTATGATGGTCTGTGTGTGGAAAGAGTGTCAAATTTCTATCCTTAAACACTTCTTTTAGATCGTGTTTTACAAAATATTAAATGAAGCTAGAAATAAACACAAAAGATATTTCTATCGTGTCAAATGAACTTTCTAAATTATTCACTTGAAAGTCAACATAAAAATTATACATATATACGCTAGTCCATTATATATTTGTATACTTTACCTTAGAGTGTGCGATGAGTGAAATCTTATGATTAGTAATTGCATGTAGTTGTGCAATAAAGATGTGAGCGAAGATAACAGCATGGACAAATAGAACAAGAAAAATCATTCATCTTTTATAATATTGTAAAGTTTATATAGAGTATTGATATACACCCATATCCACACTCACACACTTACCCTTTCATTTGTCTCTTGGTGTCGATTATTTTGCTTTCTGAAAAAATAATATGACTGCCCTACTCTGTTATCACGTATGTTTAAAGAACCGAAGAAGACTAATGTATTGCTTCTCATTTCCTCATCAGTTGCCAAGATATACTATCAATATAATTTGAGTCTAGTTGTAACCTATATAGTTGATTGTGTTGTGAACAATTCATTTTATATGAGAAAAAAGAATCAGTATGCACGAGGCAGACGAAGCCAGTGTAAGTGTCATGTTCAGTTTTTATTTTTGCGCGAGTACGTATAGGTTTATTATAGAATATTGAAAAGCAAAATTAATGAAATGTTAGTTATTTTTTTCTGCTATTAATAAGCCTTGTACACCTTGGAGATTCTGCATGTTATTTTCCAAAGACTGCTGTCCAAGTATCCACATGCATATGAGTGCGGAATTGAGCTTTTATGGCTGCTTTATCTGCTGTACATTGTTGTATAAGCATACGAGCAACTTCACGTTCATTTGATACATCGGTAGAATTAATAATTGAATCTGCGCCATTTAAATCGATTTGTCGAAAACCGAGCCAATCTCTTACACGTTCGACTTGTTTGGTTTTATCAAAGGCATACTGCATATCCTGTTTCCATTTGTTTGCTTCTGTAGCAGTAATAGTACCAGATCCACCAGATCCTGCAACTCCGCCAGGTCCACCAAATCCTCCAGTTCCACTAGGCCCACTGAACTCGCCAGCTCCGCCAGGCTCACCAAATCCGCTAGCTCCGCCAGGCCCACCAAATCCGCCAGCTCCACCAGCTCTATTAGGTCCACCGAATCCTCCAGCTCCACTAGGCCCACCAGCTCCTCCGCGTCCACCTGGCCCACCGAATCCGCTAGCACCACCTGGCCCACCGAATCCGCTGGCGCCACCAGGCCCACCGAATCCGCTAGCACCACCTGGTCCACCGAATCCACTAGCGCCACCAGGCCCACCGAATCCGCTAGCACCACCTGGTCCACCGAATCCGCTGGCGCCACCAGGCCCACCGAATCCGCTAGCACCGCCAGGTCCACCGAATCCACTAGCACCACCAGGCCCACCAAGTCCACCAGCTCCACTAGGATCACCAGCGCCTCCGCGTCCACCAAACCCTCCAGCTCCACTGGCTCCACCAGGTATTCCTTATAAAATAGTAAATTTTATAAATATATAAAATAGAAATCTAATCGGTTCAGTTTGATTCCCAATCAATCAGAACCTATCCCATCACTCGTATATAATAAATCTTCTAAAAATGTGAATATTATTTTTACTCGTTTTCAATTAATTTTCTTGTTAATCTTACTGATATACTTTTTATCAAAAGAGAAAACTTGTTGCTTAATTTTTATGATAAGAAGCACTTGAAAATGTGAACGAAAGATGTTTTAAGAAGACAAAAATTCATATTTTGCTTAGAGAATATAAGTAAGTGTGAAGTGAAGACTCGCAGTCACTAGCTCTATATACAAGATATATCGAATTCCAACTCCATTTCAAATGAATTAATACGAGATTTCAATGCTAAAATTAATATAAAATTTTAGGCACACGTTTCATAGCAAATGTGAAAATAAGTGTCTTCATGAGTTTCTGTCCTGTACTATTAAATGACAGTTTCTTTCATTTTTATACGATAATGTGACTATCTTCGTGCGAGTAGGGTTCTGAAGCTGAATCGATAGTTTAAAAGCAATTTTATAGACAGAAAAATTTGTCGAATTGTTTTGCTTCGCAATGTGTCTCTTCGAATAATGCGAATGATCGATACTTTTTATGTGAATAGAATGTTATTGCTGTGAGTCCTATATAATGAAAATGCTCGATAGAAAACTAGCATACAGGTCACTCGGTCTTTTATCTAATAAATATTACTCTCTTACTTCCTCAGAAAAAGAGAGCTGATAAAATTTTTATATAGATATTAGCATTGAAAATTTTACCCATATTATTTTTTTTGTTCAGAATTGTTTTAGATGCTACCAACATTGACTTCTTTCATTTACTAATTCAAACAAGAACTATCGTCTAATCTTACAGAACTCTATAAACGTCAAGAAAATCTTGCACATTTGTTTGCTCTATCGAAAAGTATAGACATATTTCACAAAATTTGTATGGTTCAAATTCAGTGTATATGTCTAACATTGTTTTGTATTGATAGCTGTTCATCTCACAAACAGATAAGGCATATCCAAATCATAAGTGGATTTCATTCGTTACCTCACATAGACAATTTTATCTTTTGTAGTAGACTTCATCGAACGTTAGTCAAGTTACATACCGAATTTTTGATTGCCAAACATTATTAATGCTTGTCGTTTGTGTGCTTAACAAATATAAAATCTATCGAGTATATATACGTAAGTAAAACAGTACGACAAATAAGAATAAAAACATGTTTTTATTCATTCATGTTTGATCAAGCAAGGCAAATACTTCTATACATTTTCTTTCTGTTCTGTTCTGTATTATACACATGTGGGGTGATCGTAGAAAATTACCGTTGATCAGTTTTTCATCAAATTTCTCGTGCAGAAAAAAAACTATGAAAAATATGATTAAAATCGATTTTTTTTGCAAAAACCATAAGAAACCGATTAAATCACTCAAAATAATATATTTTAACGAATTATAGAAATAGTAATTGATTTTCATAGATTTTTTCAATAAAAACTGCTTGTAATCGATTGAGTAGTGCAAAATAATGGATTTGAATCGTTTTCTTAAATTCTGATCGATTTTAAAAGATTTTTTAAATAGAAATCGGTTTTGATCAATTAGGTCGTTCAAACTAATATATCGTATTCAATTTTCTAATGAAAATCTATTTTAATCGATTAAACTGGAAAAATACTTTTAATTGATTTTAAAATCGGAATCTATTTTAATCGATTATTTTCTCAAAAAACAATAGATTCTAATAGGTTTTTAAAAATATCAATCGATTTTAATCACAATGAAGCAGGGTGTAGGTGTGGGTGTGGTGAGTATAGATGAATTTGTTGGTATCATCGTCTATACCTACACCCACACCTTGTCTTCTGTATGTTTTTTTGACAAAAATACAAATTGGAAATTTAAGATAATATTGCTTTATTTTCTCCTATCGAAATAAGCTGGGACATAGTACAAGTTCTATGTAAAAACATCACCTACATCTGCATTTATTTATCTACAATGTAGAATGTTTTTGAGAAACGTAGGATATTGGATTTGATCGTAATATTTTATTCTCTTTACATGAATGTATAAATGTTTTGTAAGAAATATAATTTGATCTGAATAGGTTATTTTTCTTAGATTGGGAATGTTTCTATGCGATGAATTTTTCCGATGTAATGAGAATGTGGGTATAACGGATGATAATCATAGCTGCACTCTCTTGTCAACAACCATACACAGAAAATTGATGACATCATCATGGTTACCTGACTACGAGAGTGTTGCAACATAAGTAAGCCACTTTATTTTTCTTTCTGTTACAGTTTTTGTCGATTGTTTGATCTGAATTACGGTGTGAGCGTCAATAAGAGAACAAGTAAGATTTATTGTGAAAAAAAAGCAAGTAAGAGTATTGCAATCAATTTTTTTATCGGCAGAATAGTGTTTTAGCACATATGACTAATATACAACGATTTCTGGACGCTGAAGAAGAATCACTCAGAAACTGGTCAACTATTGAAGGTTTTGAAAATCAACCATTAATTTCATTCGATGACGCTGTCGAAAGACTTCAACAATGCGTATTGAATCTTGGTCAACGTAGAAACGAAACGAAGCAGAGTCTGTTCGATTCGATGGATGGTCTTAACGCTGATGAGGCGGCTGCTATTTGTCTCTATACTCTCGAACAAAATGATCCAGCTGCTAGTGTCTGTACTCAACTAAATCGAGCACTTCGTACTACAATACAAAATGAATTGAAGTCTTGGTTATCTTATTTAAAGCTCTTTATTACTGCGCTCGGTAAACTGTCACCATTTCAGGGTACAGTTTACCGAGGTGTTCATGGTCATGCTAGTGATCAATATCAAGATGAGTTGACATGGTGGGGTTTTAGTTCGTGCACGGAATCAATAAATGTCATCGAAAATTTTTTTGACAAGTCGGATATTCGTACCATATTTCAGATTGCGTGTGTGAATGGTAGAAGTATCCGAAATTATTCTCACCATGCAGATCAAAATGAAGTTCTTCTCTTACCTGGTACCTGTTTACACGTCATTGAAAAGCGCAGCCCAGATAAAGGACTAAATATAATTCGATTGCAAGAGGTAGAGTCTAAATACCAGCTTTTCCGTATACTTCAGCATTCATCATTTACCGAAAAGTCTGCGACAGACAAACCTATCAACTCATGTGACGATGTACTATTAAGTGACCAAAATCCAAGCAAGTATTTCACATCATAGTCTTCTAGTAGTCCCAGTTAAGAATATATATTTAGAAGTTAGAAAACAGCATTGATGAGTACCAGGCGAATAGTACTAGAATTTATCTGTTGAATGTTTTCAAAGAAAAAACTGAATCAAATTTGTTGATTGATTTCGATCTTTCCTTAAATTGATTTTGTAAGTTCGGGAACGTTGATTAGAGTCAGCATATATGTTCACAATTTAAGATATCTGTAATGAATTGAATTTATTTTTCTAGAAAAATCTATGAACTACGATGGTAACAAAAATACTTCATCAAGTACTCAAAAGGCAAAAGCAAGTAACATTCCTGTCTTTCCTTCTCCTCATGATCGAACGCTTCCACATGCTATTCGACTTGGTACACCACAAGATCCTTCGTCTGATCTTGATACTCTTAATCAAGTAATCGGCTCACTAGTCGGTCTAGCTGTAGGTGATGCACTCGGTGCCAGTGTTGAATGTCAGTCTCATGCTAATCTTATAGAACATCCTGTTACTAATATGCAAAGTGGTGGTACATGGGGTTTGAAAGCTGGCCAATGGACGGATGATACATCCATGGCGCTGTGTCTTGCTTCATCATTAATTAGTAAACAAGGCTTTGATCCATATGATCAACTAGTTCGATATAAATGGTGGTTTAAACATGGTTTTCTTTCGTCGACCGGTCACTGCTTTGATGTTGGCAGTGCTACTCGTCGAGCACTCGACGAATTTTCTAATCGTCAAAAAATTCTCAAAAAACATTTTAAATGTCGAACTGACCAAGAAGTCGATCAGTTATCTTACGATGCTGTCCGACATGTGCCAGGCTTTAATGTCAATTGCAGTTCACCCAATATCGCAGGTAATGGAGCTTTGATGCGTCTAACTCCTGTACCTCTCTTTTATTTTCGGTCACCTTCCGTCGCTATTGAATATGCTGGACGTAGCGCTGTTATCACTCACGGCGATAGAAAAGCAGTCGATGCCTGTCGATACTATGCAGCGTTGATTGTTGCAGCTATTCATAAAGAATCTAAAGAGCAGCTGTTAAGTAATTCTTTTTACGAAGAACACAAAAACTGGTTTCAAGGTCAAGATCTCCATCCAGATATACGTCACATCGCTCAAGGTTCATATAAACAAATTCGAGGATATGAAGGAGGAATTCGAGGCAAGGGCTATATAGTGAAAGCACTTGAAGCTGCTCTTTGGGCCTTTTGGTCTAATAATGACTCGTTCGAAACCGGTGTTCTTGCAGCTATTCAGCTTGGAAGTGATACAGATACAACAGCAGCTATCTATGGTCAATTGGCCGGTGCCTTCTATGGTTATGATAAAATTCCTCAAAAATGGCGACGACAACTCTATGCTCACGATTTACTTGTCTCAATCAGTCACTGGTTACATTTTCTTGGATCTGAAGCATCTACGAATGAACAACAATCACAACATATAACTGGAGAAAAACGGAAATGATAACAATCCCCATTAATGAGTAATTTAATCGATAACCTTATCAATATTTTTTTCACTTTAAATATCATTTTTAAATTGAGTATCTTCAAAAAATAATAAATCCCTGTATTTACGAGATTGTGCACAAAAGTGTTCTAATCCCCAGACCCACCCTCAAGAAAGTATATGATGAAACCAGGAACTCATATTTTCTGGGTTATAGTTTCTTCTGAATACTAAGTAAATACACGATAACACATAAATTTTAGTCTTTTTTTGTAGGTGGTTTTTTCACATATTTTGAATCCAAATTATTGATTTGATTTTGCAGATCGTCTATCACCAATTTGAGACAAGTATTTTCGGCTTCAGCCTTTTCAGTAGCATTCAAAAGTATAATAAACTGTTGTTGAATTCCAGAAGGATTTTTTCTATACATTTCCTGAAAGCATGCATGCGTCGAATGTTTTGCAAATGGTCGTCGTTTTGATAAAGGTAACAGGCATACCTGACATGGGATGTTTTCAAATTGACATTCTTTTTCATGTTGTTCAAGATCATAATAATGTATAAGCATTCGACATCCATTTTGCTCATAGGCACATCGAAATAATAATTTGCTAAGATCAGCAATGATATGAGTAGGCACAGATACTTCTTCAAAATTGTCACAAGTGTTTCGTCCATGCCGAGGACGTTCAACACCGAAAAATGTCGAAACTCTACTGAAAAAACCGATTTGAGGACGGCATTTGTAGCAAAAAATACATTCACATTGTTTACAATAAACTGGTTTCCAAACAACATTGCGGCATTCGGTACAAAGTAATTCATCATTCAAACCCATCTTTGAATTTTGATCTAGGACGACTCGATGTTTACTAAGTGTCTCGATTTCGACTGTTGATTGAAGTTGAATTCGTTCTACTTCATGCTAAATGAGAAAAACCTGGATATGTAGTGTAGAAATATTAAAGAAAGTACTTACATCATTCATTATAAAACCTCGTGGTACCAACATTGTGATTTGATCATCTTAAAATACAAATCATCTGTAATTCATATCAGAAGAGAATATTTTTAAACGTAATTACTTTGTGCTAGTGGCGTAACCAGGGGGGGGGCCAGATGGGGCTTAGCCCCATCACCGAGTGTTTAAGCCCCATCACCCGGATTTTGTGGAACTCACGTAAATTTTCGAAGAAAATCGTGAGTGTAAGTTTTAAGTTCAAGTTTTTCAGCTCCCCTACTCCCCCTCCCCCCAAATTCAATAAAAATACGCAAAAATAGCTATAAATTGCTAAAATTTTAATAAAAATACTGAAAAAGCGTTAAAAATAGCTGTAAATTGCGGGATTTTCTATAAAATATAAGCAAAATGGTTAAATACAGCTATAGATTAGTAGAGTTGTAATAAAAATAAGCAAAAATAGTTAAAAATAGCAATAAATTACTACAAATTTAATAAAAAAAATAACGAAAATGGCTATAAATCGCGGGAATTTTTTATGAAAATAATGACAAATCGCTAAAAATAGCTTTTTACTGCCGCAAATTTAATATAAATAACCAAAAATTGACAAAAATAGCTATAAATTAACTAAATTTGAGCAAAAAAAGAAGACAAAGCGCTTAAACATGATTAGATATTTTGATGCGAACATACGTGAGTTCCACATTTTTAGCACTAACGGGACTGCGCTGATAAGCGTTTTTAGTTACTAAACTTAATAATCAAAAAATCCAAAAGACTAGACAGTTTTGGGCAGAGCTGGGCAACTCAGCAGAAAAAAGTGAATTAATTCAATTCAATTCGTGAAAAAAAACTTTTGAATTTAATTCAACTCAATTGAGCTGCTCAGCTCTGATAGATATAGGTAAATGCACATGTGATTCATTAACTAGATATGAAAGATGTAGACAGAAATTACAAAAGAAATCGAAACAAGGACTAGATATTTGGTTACTTTTATTATTTGAATTTTGTTTTCTGAAAAATAATTTTCGATTTTTTTTGAGTTAATTTCGATTCAACCACTACTCTTTGAAACTTTTTTCAATTTAATTCAATTCAGTCATACTAAATAGTTGTACTCAATTGAACTCAACTAGGTTAATGAATGGAATTTAGTTAAATTGAGTTCGTCATTTTTTGAACTGAGTTGTTCATTTCTGGTTTTGGGGCTGAGCCCCATCACCCTTAAATTTCTGGTTACGCCACTACTTTGTGCTTCTCTAAGTTCTTGTCTGAGTTTTCGAATCTCAGATTGTACTTCAAAACGATATTGTTGAAATTGTTCTGTAGAATAATTTACATCAGAATCGAGTAAAACAGGAGCATTTGGCTCATAAGTAATTTGAAAATTTTCAGATGTCGTTCGAACTGATGAACATTGCAGTTGATGTTCGGGTAGATTTTTTTCTGGTATTTCTGATTGGCAAGTAGAACATTTGACAAGTTTATATCCACACATCATTTCATGTTTTTCGAGTGCTTCATACGGAACAATCTGGAATGAGTAGGTTTTAATCATAAAAAAGAAAATAAATAATCAGACAAACTTCGTTACAACCATTTGGACGATAAATACACGCGATTTGCAATTTCGATAATTGTTTGACGATAAATTTCGAACACGGTCGTTGAACAAAACTATCGCACCGTAATGGACATTGATTGGGATTTTTAGTTAACCATAATGTGATACATTTTGAACAGAAGTGAGTTTCACATTGTTGGCAAGAGACTGGTTTCCATAGAATATTTTCACATATTGTGGAACAATGAACATCACTTAAATCGATATCGGTTGAAGATTCAACACGTTCACTCGCAAGTCCCATTTCATTTGTAGATGTCATCTAAACAGGAAATGAATAATAACTGACAAAAGAAAAACAAAATCAAATAAACTATCGCTTTGCTGATGCTTTATTTGAAATTCATACGGCAATACATATCTGACGAATCATATACTACTATAGTACTCACTTTCATAGACTGATTGTTTTTTTACGAAGCGTTCTCTTCTTATATAAATATAAACTTGACGATGACGTGTTTCATAGTTATCGCTTACATTAGTAATGTATGAGTCATACAATGATGCAATGCAATGATGAAAATACTGCCTGGTCATTGATGATATTTTTCTATAACAACTCTGAATAATTTTTGTAGATATTTTCTCTTTGTTTTAACTGTTAGCGTCAACAGATGACACTATGTTGCCGCTAACTATAATTCTTTTTTCTTGAGAGTATGGGTGTGAATTCATGTAATGAATGAGAAGAATACAAGCACACCCATACCGTTAAGATATTTATGTTTTATTTTTGAAGTGATCTTTCTTTATTTGTTTTCTAGAATAAATAAATATGATTAAATAATTTTAGGAAAGTTCGTTAGTCTTATTAAACACATGAATTAACATTGAATATTTGGATCGATACGAATAATTCGATTGAATTGATTGTCTGATAAATAAACGACATAATTATTTGCAATTATTGCATGAAAAACAGTATAATTTGTTTGAGTAATATTCCCAAGGAATAATCCGTAACTATCAAAAATCAGTACATCATATGTGCCTAATGAGAACCAATAACGCTTACATCCATCGATTGTTAAATGACTACCATAGGGTGATGGAGCTATTGGTCCCGCGTTAAGAAGAAGTTTTTCAGTCCACAATGTGCTATTTTTTTTAGCAGAATATGAATAAATTGCATTATTACCCCATGATGTTACATAAAAACTAGTATCATTTATATACCATAATCCATGTGGATTTGTATAACTAACAGATTGTTGATAAACAAAAGTATAATTTGTTGATACAATATTTGATCGATTGAAGAATAGAAGAAATGCATTATCAGTTGAAGCAACTACCATCATTTGCCCATTATTAAGAAATATCATATCACGTGTTCCACTTAATGAAGATGTTGTGATATTATGCAGTAATGTAAAATTGTTACTATCAATCACCAGAATAAAGTATTCGAATCCAACATAGTAAGCGTCATTATAAAAAGCTAGATTTAATGGAGAATCGGGAAAGTTGGGCGATGGAGGCTGACTAACAATTGTTAAATTTGTTGAATAAAAACGAACAAGAGAATTATTTGTTTGTGAGACTGTTACTAGATAACCATGATTGTCTAAAATAAGACAACGAGGACTCGGCACACTAGCATAAGTTGGAATGGCTGTATTTAATTTATTTAACAATGACTGAGTATCAGGCATACAACATTGACTTGCATTGGGATAGATTTGTTTGGGAAAATATAATCGAGCTGTTGGTATCGTTTGAATTTGATAAGTATTTGGAAAAGTATAAAAGAATTGACATGTATTATTTGGAAAACAATTCAAAGCAATATACGATGAATTTAACATACATAAACATTGTTTACATGTATGATTTTGAATGATTATACTATTGGAACTGAATGTTGGTTTAAGAATAGTATTATTAATAAATGGAATTTTAATAGAATTAACAATAACAATAAAAAGTAAAAGATTAAAGAGAATATTAACCAACATTGTTAACTCAGAGTTGTATCAATTTTCTAAAAGAAAAGCAGAACACTTTCTATTACATACTTGTTAGATATTATATTTCTACGCATTTCCTGAATAAAAATAATACAATTTGCGTATATCACTCTTAAAAGAAAATGAGAAAATGTTTCCGGACAATTAAATAATGTTTACTTTTGTTGAAATTATCGTTTGACGTCATTTACAAACAAAATATATGTAGGTTGAAGTAGTATACACCACGATAAATCATTCATAAACTTACATAATACATTTCTTTGTTCTAAATTTTCTCATTTTGTTCAAATAATAATGAATTAATGTTAATTGATATTAGAATTTTAAACTGATAAAATATTTCTCCAAACAATATGATAAATTATCGAGTTAAGATTTTTTTGCAACATATTTTGTAATTCTTTTTCACAAAATAGAAGTTTAAGTGTCAGATTTAATTAATTTCAAAAGAAAGAGTTTCAAATATTGGTTTTTTTATTCATTAATACAAAGCATAGCATCATTGTGGCAATTATTATACACCCCCGCAAAGGTATTGAAGTAGCGTAGATAAATATGGAAAGAGAAGAAAAAGTTAGTTCAAAAAAATAATGAGGACAATGGTAATATAGAAACACGACGCCTACGAAAACAAATGACGTAGGTGATCGTTGTTTCCTTTGTGGTAATCATCTCATATGTAGATATCATTCAGAACTGATTGATAAACAATTTTCTAACAAATATGGGTTCATATACATGATATATCTTATCTAATGTATGATGATGTATAGCACCATCAATCTACAATATTCAAAATTATGACTAAAATATCACAATGATTTATTTTATCTTAAGAAAACACTATATAATCATCCTAAATTGATGATAAATGAAATAGAAAAAAAATATGTTAGATGTTATTGTTCTTGTCTTCCTATATTCTTGTATTTTCGTGCAATTATTTCTAATTGTTCAATACTATCTCTTAACATTGGATCTTTGTAATCATACGTGGTAATATTCAATCCAGGAAAATTAAATAATAAGAGTTTTTTCAAATTAATTAATAGTTCAGCGTTTGGTGAATATGTTCCTGATGCATTATCAAATACTAATTCCCATTCATCATTCAATTTAGTCCAACCAAATTTAGGACGAAGATGAAATTCACCTGCATAACAAATATATTCAGACCAATTAGCTAATCGAGCATGTTTAATTGTAGAATCAGCAAATACTCGAGGATCTATTTCTGTAAATTGCCATGTTGTATCATCAATTATATAAGTATAAATACGTGGTCTTATTTGCTGTATTGTTTTATCCATTAAAACCAACTTCCATAAATCATCAGCACTTCTCAATTGTCCATTTTCATCATGTCTTACAATTTTCTCATTGAATGTTTTTTGAGCTAATGCCATCATATTGTGTGCAGTCGATATACCTAAATAATCAGAAGTTACTTGTTGAACTGGTTTATACTGACGATTCCATTGTTGACGTTGATCAGAAGGAAAATAGGATAAAATACGTCGTAATTGTATTGTCCAAGTTGAATAGATACGTTCAGTATGATGATTAATAGGAAAAAAATCATAACGAGAATATCGACAAGGACCATCGAATGTATAACAAGGCAGTTGTTGGCTTTCATTCGATGATTTTTTTGAATCGATAGATAAATGAAAATGTCCTTTATGTTGACCATATGAATCAACAATGGTAGGACCATTTGGAGGAGCATCATAGTTGATTATATTCAATATTTCAAATTCTCCAATATAATTATCATCAAGTTCTTTCTCATTTTTATTATAAATTTTAACTAAAAGTTTTGCATTCCTAGGAATCTTTCGAATTATCCATTCTTCATCAGTCCACTTCGATGTTGATCTAGAATTTATTATATTATTATCAAATACAAAATAAGAATATTTACGTGAATGATATTTGATTATCAATTGTTGCCACAAAATATGGATTAACATATTCAATAGTATTTATCTTTGAGAAATTCTGGAAAAGAAAAAAATTTCATGTTATTAATTAAAGAAAAAACTAACTTGTGATGCATGAAATATAATAACAATATCATAATTATCAGATAGATCATCATGAACTGTCGATATTGAAAATAATGGTCGTTTATAAATAGGAATTGATTGTAAAGACATTAGTTTCTACAATATTTATAAATTAACATAATAAAAGTGGATAAATACATATATATCATCTTTATCTTTATCTTACGAGTTTAAACTAAGAAATAATAATGAAAATATGAATGTATATATATATATTACAAGATATTTATTTCTTCTTTTACTCGCTTGTTTTCGTATAGGATTTGTTATTTCTACCATAATATGACGCATTGAATGATAATATCTATCAATATTATTGTCAATCGCTCTGCTGCAGAATCGAACGAAAAAAAAACAAGAAAGAAAATATGAATGATTGTCACATGGTAATGTTTTTGTGTTTTTAGTTGTTTGAATCAATAATATAATGAGTAAATGCATTTATAAAAAATAATACAGTATAGTCACTTATTTTCTAGACAAAATAAATTATAGTTTATGATGAGGTTTGTTTAATCCTGAACTTTTTCATTATGAATACTTTAATCCTTTGAGTCCTAGCGACGTATCTATACGTCCTGACGCTGTTATTTGACAAAGATGTCTCTTGTACGTTCTTTTAGTATTTAGCACATCTTTTTATCATTTATTAAATGATGTCACACAAGTCCAATCCTTCTTTCTTTTCTTTTCTTTTCTTTCTGCTTGTCAAATATCACATATCTATGTTCTGTCTGTTTTTCTTCGCTCTGTTATAATGATGTACATATTTTTTACTCTAATGCATTCCAATACAATCACTTTCTTCCATCTTTCGGATATACCAGTATACAATGCATTTGTTATTTACAAAATGTATGACAATATGTAAGTAATGAAGAATTATATTGAATCTCTTTTATCTTTTTGATTTTATTTTAATTATTCAATAAACAAAAAATAGAAGAAATTGAAGAAAATATATAAGAAACAAAAAAGAAATTTGATCAATGATAAATATATCTCTAAGAAGTAGTATTCATAAAATAGAAATCTTGCAAAAAAAATGATAATAATAATTAACATTATCTCGAATAGTTCTTTCTTATATAAATTCAAGTCAACACTGATATGAGAATAAATAAGATTTAAGCGAAAAAAAAACAAAAAGAAAGAAACAAAAAAGAGAAATATTTTTCTAATTATTTTTTATTTTAAGAAGAAATTAAACAAATGTAAATATAAATACTTGTTTAACAAGTGTAAAGGAGAGGAAGAGAAACAAAGGGGAAAAGAGAATAATAAATATTTTTAACAATAAATAAATATATAATACGCGAGGCCTTTCGAATTTCTTTTCAAGCGAATATGTGAAGAGAATTTTTATAAATGTTATAATAAAATGATATTAATTCATGTTATTAATGTAAGTGATGATATTAATGTAGAAAATATTATAAATAATAATATTAATAGAGAAGACATTATAAAAAGTGATATTAATGTAGAAGAATAGTGATTAATCTTGTAATTTTCAACACGATAAATTTACAAAAAATTCAATGAGGTATATTTGTTATATTGGTTGAAGATTTTTTGGGAGGAGCATTTACATCAAAATTAGAATAAAATTGAAAATAATAGAGGGAGAGACATTGTTACAACAATTGGGAATTTTTAGAAGAGAATTTTACAACAACATTGGATCAATTGATAAATATCAATATTAAATGACTCAGTGAGAGATATTGTTACAATAATTGGGTGTGGGTGTGGATGCTGATGTTGATAATCAATAAATACTTACATGTAAATTCATCCACCCACGCCCCAAACAATCATCTATGGCATAGTTGACTAATTTAAGTCGAACTTGCTGTTGTTTGTTAGTTAACGATGATTTAATATTGTAATTGAGAGCATTGAATTTAAGATTAAGATATAGACGACTATCTAAACCTTGTCTCCAATTACTTCTTGTTAGAGCATGGAGAGAGAAAGATGTGATGTGTTTCTAATGTTTTTTTTTTGTATATATGTAAATATGAAATCACACCACACACTAGACTAACTGGAGAGAAAAAAATATACAGATATATATATATGTGGATCACAAAGGGCGAATACATATATCACACGAAAGAAAGAAGATATCAGAAGAAATAAAGAAAGGTATCTAAGCAAGGGGTGAAATAATCTAGATGTTGACTATAACACTTCTGATCAATGATTTTGTGACGGATATCATCCGTCACTATCTCTCTCACATGATCGAATCACATCATGCGCATCGGTCATGTATTATTGTTCAACCTCTTTCCTCGTTTATCTCTTCTCATGACCGTTTCACATGATTAGCGATAGATGTGTTCATTGTTATTCTCGCGCTGCACGAGTATATATATATACTCGTGCATTTCATATTCGTAGTAGTTCTTCTCTTTCTCGTTGAATAAAGGACGAACGGTCATCATTCCGTTACAGATTTATCTAAAAACTGATTGTATATTGTTGATATAGCCATTTGTAAACTCCATGGATTATTAGGATTTTTGTATGGTCGATATATGCATGTACAATTTGGACTATCAGCAATATCCTTATAATCGGTTATTGTTGGACAATTATCGTTATGTTTGTATATGTTGTTATACATTGATAATATGGAGACTTGCGAGAGGTAATGAATTGACAAATTCATAATCTTGAAATTTTAGCATTTCATTTTTCTCGTTACCTCATGTTAAGAATGTATTTGACGGATGAAAGATGACGTCAAATAGTTCTTGTGCACGTGGACGGATGTTGTATGTTTCTGATCGTAACTGGCACATTTCCAGTATAATGATAGTGGATTTGATTGCTTCTTCTTCTTTGAAATGATTATTATTGTTCAAATGAATCAGTTGCAATTAGATGAGTGCTGGCCGTCCTGAGATGTCATCCGTTTCAGTATCGATTGTGAAATATTTTGCTGTACGAGCCCGTTCAATCAGATTGAGAAGCACAAAAAATGCTGTCATATAATTGATAAAGATGAGTTCGTATGGTTGGTTCGATGTGAATTTTGGTAAATTGTTTAAATCTTTGTTCAACTGTTGTTTTCGTTGATTCTGTCGCCATTGTCGCTGTTTTTGCTGTACTGTTTTTTGTTTTTTTTCTATTTTCTTGAAGTCGTAGTGAGTCGTGGGATGACACTAAGACGATGTGTTCATTAATTAATTGAATTGTTTCCATGTTTTTTTTTTAAATGTAGAAGTTATCTAAAGTTACAAAAGAAAAATATAATAATATTTATTCTTAAAAAAAATTAAAATGTTAAAATATATTGACATACTTGTTCAGCTCTCCAATCGAGTTCAATAACCATAACCAATTTCGTAATTGCTACACAACAATGAGAATAATTTGTAACTCTATCTTAATGATCTGTTATAGATTTAATTTCTTGTGGAATAAATTCATTGAATACACAATTAATTGCTCTATGGAGAGTCTATTGTTCATCAATGTGTTTATATGGACGATATGGACAGATACAACACGGATGATCATCATCAGCAAACCTTGATGAACAACGACACTTGTTATCATGTGTAAATGGCTTTTGTAGTGGAATTAAATTTCTTAAATTATTGAAAATGTCTTTTGAAAAGCATCAAATCCGTGTTAAAAGGTAAAGATCTTTGTTGTTTTTATTCCATATATAAGTTTTGTTTGCTGGAAGAAAAATGTATTGCAGTAAAGTGTTAATTGCAAAACGTAATCCGCGATGAATTGATAACAAACGATTTATCTGGAATAGTAAAATTTTGGATTGAAATTCGCCTATTTGAATTAATTCGATTAGTATAAATGTATCTTTTGTTGCTTTGTTATAATTTGAGGGTGTGGGTGTGGGTATGTACCATTGATAGTAGTTCTTCGTTTTTGATGAATAGATCAAGTACTCGAAATATTAAAACAAGTGACTTTGATTGTTCTACTTGTATCAATTCAATTTTGATTGTAATATCTTGCACATCTCTATAGTTATGTTCTATAATAATAGAAAATGTTGTTGTCCTTTGAACACGTCGAGTAGGTGTCATAATATCACAAATCTTTGTGTGTTGATTTATAGCATAAATTTCAAGTTGTTTGGTAGATTGAAATTGATGTGAACATAGCCAGTATGTTTCATTTGGTAGTTATGATTTTCGTAGTTTTGTAGAATTAATGATGGGATGTTGTGTTTTCAAATCATGAATCGGTTCAGGTAGTGGCAATTGAAGAAAAGTTTTAAGATCCACAAGAATATAATAATTTCAATGAAAAATTCTTATCTAGAATAAGAAGGAAAGAAAAATAGAGAGTCATACAAATAATGTACATAAGAAACATGCAATAGTAAGTAAAATGATTTTTATTAATTTATATTAATAGTATTATTATCGGTGGTGTCATCATTATCATCTTGTTTAATTTTTTGTTTTTTTATATTCTTTTGTTGACCATTATCATCATCATCATCACGATGAGATTTACGTTTTTGACTGTTTGGCCTTGTAAGATTTTTTATTCACCATATTTCATTTTCATGATCAACATCATGAACTATTTCTGCTAACGATTCAAATAAACCATCCTGAATCATTCCAGTATGATAATCAGCAGGAATATAAATACGATGTGTCCAGAGTGCGTCGATAAATTCTTGCTGCATTTTTAATTGCTCTTCAAGAAATTTGACAAATTTATCGAGCACTCCAGTCTTTGCCATTTGAGCACGATAAGGTGGATATAAGGTTATGTGTGCCTTCAGTAATATATTGGCAATACGTTTTCGTTGAATATCTTCCTCTTCAACATCAATACATGGGATTGTTCTTGTTGATTGTGTTGTTGTTGATTGAAGTAAACTATCCATGATCGATAATATACAATATTTCGAATAAAATTAAGTGATCTAGAACAAAATGAATATCATAAATAAATGATGAAATTAATCTTTAATTTATAATATAAAAATTATTTTTATGAATTTAATTAACTTACCTATTTTTGTATTCTATTTGATTGCATAACATAATTGTATATAGAAATTGAAAAACAATCTTGCAGAGTGAGTGTGGAACTAGGTTAAGTATAACACCCACACCCTTATTAACGGTTGTTTGGAGTACCTTGATAACATTATTACCAGCATTTTGATAACGTTTCATTCTTGAATTATTTTGTTTGCCAAGAAATAAGCATGGTTGTTCTGTTAATAATTGAATGGCTTCTTCTAATGTCATTGTAGGTCGACAATGATCGGTTTGATTATCGTTGCGTGCAACTGGTGTTTCATTTGTTGAACAAATATTGAATATGATTATTAATAATAGTTGAACGAAGAATTTGATCACCATCATCAGTATCTTTGTAATTTATATCTAGAAATGAACTATTACGATAGATATGGCTAAATTGAACAATTAAGAAAAAGAATGAAGAATATTCAAAACATGCAGATCAATAAACTGTTTATATTTGAATATAGATGATAATTGATGATGAGGACGATGTAAATTAGCATACCATAAACCTTGACTAATTGGACCATTGATTAAATATGTAAAAATATGACCCATTGTATTCAATTTTGTTTCAGCATGTGTAATTAATAAGGATTGAACCAGATGTCGAAATAAATCGGATGTATCCATTGGTAATACTGTAATTAGTGTAGCATTGTTAGTTGTATAATATAAACTTGGTTGTGTTGGATATTTTTCTTTTATAAAAAATTCATATTGTTTTTGTATCTGACGTTTTGAGAATTTATAACCTGATGGTGGTTTTGGTAAATAATTGAAATATTTTTGAATCTTATCATCATAACTATTGCTAGCTGTTGTTGTTGTTGATGATGGTTCTATTTTCAAATGAGTTTGAAAATAATCATTATCTCAATCAGCTTTTTCATTTGACATTGGTACAAATATCCAATAATCATTGTTTTCATTTAAAAATGATTGCATAGCACTTGAACAATGTATAAGATGTTGATAGAGACGCATGCTTTCTTTGTTGGTAAATTCAGTTGTTTTACTACCCCAAAAACGTATGTGATTCTTTTCACCAATTAATTTTTCTAAAATCAGTCGATGTGTAAAACATTGATGATCTGATAAACGTCCTAATAGAATGCCACTTGTTCCACCAATATAATCATAATTACCACATACACATGTTAATGCATAGATAATATTTTTTGTTTTGCATGTCGATGGACAATTCAAAATGGATTCATATCCGTTAACAAATCGATGTTTTTGATATAAATTGAATTGTACCGAGTATTGTTTATTATTTGTCGGTTGATTATGTTCATAACATAGTGCACAACATCTACATGGTGTCATCCAATAACGACATTGAGGATTAATAGTACAATATATACCTTCATCCTTTAATCGCGGTTCAGCTTGACGATATGTACATGTTTTCATATAAAACAAGTCGACATCTATCTGTAGATAGAATTCTAATAATTGTGGATATTCATTTTCATTTAAATTTAAATAGTTTGTCGAAGATCGAGACAAAGGTAATGTACGATTATATGCCAATCGATGTAGTTGTATAAATTTTTTTAATTTACAATAATTATGATCCAGTATTGACAAATCAACATGAAACCGTTCAATAATTGATCCAAAATGCATTTGATAATATTGAGTAACCATTGATGTTGCAAATGCATCAATATCTAGAATAGAAAATCCACATTTATATTTACCTGATTGACGATTCATTTGTTCTTGTTCTGATAATTGATTAATTGGTAAATTTGCTAATAAAAGTAATGATTGATCAGTAGCATTAGTAGTGTTTGTTGGATATGTTGGTAGAATTGAGAGTCGTTCTTGATTCAATCCAGCAATTGTATATGGTAAATAATTTCGTTGTATTGTATCCAATGAAGATTTAACTGGTGATGTTAAATCAATTTCCACGTATTCCACCGGTAATTTTGTATCAAATAGATTTTCCTTTTTTGGTTTAATATCATGATCATGATCATCAGATAAGAGTACAACTGATGCGACACGTCGATTTCGATTCATTAATATATATCTAGAAATAAAAATGAATGAAATTTATATTATTTAAAGAAAATTAAAAAAGAAATAAAGAACAGTTTTAGTATTTTATCAGTAGTTTTAAATCTAGAAAAGAGAAGAAAAGAAAATAATATAAAATAGAATCAATTTAATTGAACTTACTAGTTTTTCTTTTGTTTTTTAGCTGTTGATCGTTCGTTTGGATCATTTGTAGACTGGCGTTTAAGATCTCTATCGAATAATGTTTTTAAATGATTTGTGTGTAATATCTCTTCTTTCGAATCGATATCACGAACCTCATTCAATAGAGGCTCAAACAAATCATCTGCAAACATTTGCGAATAATATCCATCAGGTATACGAATGTGATATCTTTTTAGCATCCTTTGTACACTTGTGTTCTTGATCGATTGTTTTCGAGCCATAATCATTAGTTTATCCAGTAAACCAATTTGTTCCAATCGACCAAGATACTCGCTAGGAAAATAAATTGATTGACTTGCCAAAAATGTAATCATTTTCTTCTTTTTTTCTTCATCCATTGTTGGGTCTGTCTCTGTTCTTGTTAATTCTATTGCTGCTGAGCGAAGTAAATGATCCACAATTGATAATATAGAATGTTTGAAATAAAATTAACAAATCTAAAACAAATTGAATATCATAAACAAATGACGAGAATAATCTTTAATGATATAAATTTAATTAAATTCTATATGTTTATGTGGTGAAGACGAATTTTCCAATAATAATAATTATTGACGTTTCGAACAATCTTGAGGATGTAGGTGTGAGTGTGAAACTAGATTAGTTATAGTATTCCACACCCTCAAGAATTGATTCATAACCGTTAACATAACGGTAAGCTCTCTATTAGAAGTATTACAATCGTGTTTAGTATATGATAACCAGTACGATTAAAAATGTATATATTTCAAAATCGAGAAAAAAATACTTCTCAGAAAAAATGAATAGCAAAAATGACTCCATAAATAAGAAAAAAAGGAGCATTTTTCATCCATCCGATAAAAAAAAGAAAAATAAGAGAATAGAAAGAATGTTATCTGTAATAGCATTCTTTCAAGCATCAAAAAAGAAAAAAAGAAAAAGAAAATAAAATCATCGTTAACAATAACATAACGATATTCTGAATTCATTGTACAAAATATATTTTTTATTTTTTATTCTTAGTTTCGATTGATGAAATGAAAGTAGCTACACTGCAAAAGAAACCGCCACAATAATAAACTCTAAAAGCGTATATGAATAAATTTAGAAGATAGAACAATCGGAAATAAATAAGAAAATAAAGAGAGAACTGCTTTAAAGATCATTTTAAATTAATATTAGCCCAGTCGGGAATAAAAGATAGGGATTTGAGCTTTCGTCTTCGAACTGAACACATCATTCATTGCATTAATATAGTCCGTGAAAAAAGAAACAAAACATCAAAGACATATGTCAATACATAAGAGAACATATATACGCTCAAATAGTCAATGTCGATAATAAACATCAAACGAACCGACAACGTTTCGAACATGACACTTCTTTATATTTTATTAAAAAGAAAAAGTATTATATAAATACTTCACAACTAGAGAATGAATTTTACTATTGTTATCTCGCTTCGTCGAGCTGATGTTTACTTCAAAAGAAAAATCACTCCTTATCTAGCGCATCCACACACATATATATATAATCACACAAAGAGAAAGATAGATATATCACTAGATCTATGTGTATATATCTATTAGTCATCGAGGTATGATCGCTAACAGTCTTCCCCTCCTAATGAAGTATGTGTCCCACATATAATACTATAATAACGAAAAATGTGACCATATGAAAGAAACAACAGAAAAAAATTCGATAAAAAAATCGTTGTGAAACTTCGATATTCATCTATATAACAGAAACTAAAGCTGTATGAACTAAGTATGAATATAAAGAAAATAAACAACCTGATTATAGAAAAATAAACAACTAAATGAATGTCACATTGAAGATTTAGCGATTGGATGTTGTTATGAGTTCAATTCAAACTCGTGAATCAGCTCCACTTGTTCTACTCCACATGCAGTTATTGTTGTTGGTACTTGTTGAAGCTGATGTCTAATTCATTATTCAATATAATATTGATATCCGCTTGAGCTTTTATTGAAATGTAATTGTTATTACAATGTTCATCGGTTAATTTGAATGTTGAAGTGATGAAATTTTCCATTCTTTTCTTATTATCATTTAATATTATTAATAAATAAATCAATTGATGAAAATGCTTGTAAAGAAAAATATCATTTCATGTTACTTGAATCTCATTTTCTATAGCATTTTCGGAAATAATTTCATAAAACAAATAATTGTTCACATACACGTGAATAACAATAATAATGATATGTACTTAACCAACTATATGACCATATCATCTTATATATTCATATAATATTGGATCAAATGAAGCATAAGCTGTTGAGATTGATAATGATCAATAAAAAATTTTATTTGATTTAATTCATTTAAAATTATTGTTTTAATAATAATAATTTGTATTGTTTGTTTATTGTGTTCTGGTTAGTTGTTTATGTTGATGTCGTTGGTTGTTCATTTTATTCATAAAATTTTATATATATATATATAACTTTTGGTTTTTATTTTGTTTTGTGTTAATTTTTTGTGTTAATTTTTTGTGTTAATTTTTGGTGTTAATTTTTGTGTTTTTTTTAATTTAATTTAATTTTTTCCGGATCATCGTCTAATATATTGTTCTATTGAAAAATAATTGATTTTGCCCGTTCTTTTAATTCATTGGATTTAAATCTAATTGATACTTCATCATGATTATCATTAATTTTTATTTGATGGCTGGTAATAATGTTGTCATCCACAAGTTGTGCCCGTATTTTCTTGTAACCATATTTATAATAAATTGGCCTGAGGATATAATTTTGGAAACTTGGTTTATATTTTTTCTTTAATTTGAAGTTTTCATTTTTTATTTTTTTGCCGTTCTTGTTTAGTTAATTTTCTTGTTGGTGTTATTTCTTGTAATCGTTGTTATTCAGGTTGTGTTGTTAAAATAATTTCGTTCATTTCTTGTTGTGTAGCTGTTATAATTAATTCATGTGATTGATGTGTAGTTTGTTGTTTGTTGTTGAATCGTGGAATACATATTTCTGGTAATTCATCATCACTTATATCTGATAAATCATTATTGATTTTTATTATAATATTTGATGGTGTTGGTTTTATTGGTTCAGGTGTTATTGAATAATTGTTAATTTTTTCTGGATACATGTGGAAGAATAATTCAGCAACAGATGTACAATTATTAATGGCATATTGTAACATTGTATTTCTTTCTTGTTGTTCAATATTTTGATCGTGTCGGTTTCGGCTAAACAATTTGGTTCTCCACGTATTCAAGTTCAAATCGATGCCACATTTCCAATGATTAACAGTTAATGATTTATCTAAAAATCTATTAAATGTTCTTGCAATGGCATCTTGTAATGATGTTGGTTCATCTGAATTTGATTGATCTGGTTGGTCATCATAATCATAACTGTTTACAAAAGGACGAAAGAAAGAAATGAAAAATATGTATATATGAAAGATACGATACCTTGTAGTAGTGAAAAATGTAATTAATTAATATCGATAATTCTGTTGAATTCTCTCTTTCCAAAAAAATGAGATCAATATCACTCTTTCCTGTTATGAATGAGTCTTTTATATAAAAAAAAATTCCCAGTAATTAACTCATCTTCGATGAAGTTAAAATGAAGCAGATTGGGTCACGGCACCAATGTCAGCTCGCATCGTTTAGCTGATGTTTATTTCAAAAGAAAAATCACTCATTATCTAGCGCATCCACACACATATATATATAATCACACAAAGGGAAAGATAGATATATCACTAGATTTATGTGTATATATCTATATATATCTATTAGTCATCGAGGTATGACCGCTAACAACTATATATTTATCTTTACATATTAAATTAGAAAAAAAAGTACTTGAATTTCAATGTTAACGATTAAAATTAATTGATTCACATGGACTTTTTTTATCATTCAAATTAAAATATGATATAAATTTCAATGAACGTTATATAAATCAACTGTGCATATTTATATCAAAATTTGAATGAAGATTGTTCCAATTAACTGATTTATATTATTAAAATCAAAATTTGATATCAATTTCAATAGATATTATAGATAACAAATATGAATGTATGAGGGGTGCGTGAATACAGATACAACTTGTATCAACATTTTATATATATAGATCTGAACAGACATACATCTGCGTGTATTCTTTTATTGGTATATGTATTGATACATGAGTGGATGTATTGATACACATACAGTCATATATACCTCTAAAAAACCTAGAATTTAAGAATTCATGTATCCAGAAATGAATACATGTATCGAGAAATGAATACATGTATTGATACATGAATTCTTAAATTCTAGCTTTTTCTGAGGTATATATATATGTCGATACATGTATCAATGTATCAATACATGAAT